ACAACCACAGAAGTGTAAAATTATATAGATCATGGACTGAATACTTTTGCCTTCGGTTATACATACAAAGCAAATACTGTATCAGCTCTGAAGCAAAACTTGAAGATTTCAAAACAACAAAAGCCTTGTTATGTTTTATTATATATATATATGTATTATATATATATATGTATTATGTTTATCAACGTGGTTATTTTTTATGCTTTGTAAAATTGAATTATTAAAATATTTATTTATTATGTTCATTAAACGGACAGAGAGAAATGAAGTAAACATTTTACATTCAATTTAAGATACAGTGAGAGGATAGAAGAGCAGCCGTTGTGTCTTTTAAGAGGGAGCTTCATCATTTTTTCTATTCATACTTCATTTCAGAAATTTTGCTGAAAATATGCAAAATTAATTAATCTTACTTATTTTACAATGATTAGCTTAATTAATGCAAAATTAATGTAATTAATCGCTAAATAATCTTTTGATTATTTCATTTTTTTTTTCTTTACAGTTTTTGAGCAAAACTTTTTATTTTAAATCAAATTGATTTTACAAAAGCTATTTTAAAATGTTAAAATTTGAGATGAAAAAAATATCTTGTATTTAATGAATGAAATTATTGCAACAGAAATAACTTAATCTGGAGAAGATGTAAATAAATCTAAAAGGTAATACTTGATTTTATATTCCCTCAATTAACTTACAAATTAATCTACCTTAAAATCTACAAATTAACTAATAAACAAATAAATTAATTTATTATTTCATTAAATATTCTGAGTAATTTGCATACGTTGCCAGAAATATCTATTATCTTTGTATTATGCAAATTAAAAATAAATTAGAAAATTAAAAAATAACCGGTGGAAATGAACATCCTGTTCGGATATGAATGTCTTCCATTTGTGGAATAACGATTAATACGGAATCCTTTAGTCCTAAAACCTGCAAACTAATCCATCCTTTTTGAATATACATTTTTTTCATTTTAAAATTAATTTTATAATTATTCATTTGAAAATAATTTTTTTTGTTGAAACTTTAAATTTAATAATTATGTTAAAATTTGTCAACTTACCAGATGATTGGGAAGGATGTTTTTGCATTCTGTCAAATCCTTCATTTTCCACTTTAGTTCTCATTCCATATTCTGTACCTTGCATTGTACTGAGAATTCGTTTTGCCATGCCAAATCCTTCACCATCCAATTCATCGAGACCCCGTTTTTTCAATCCGAATCCTTCTCCTTCCAACGCATCAAGAGCTCGCTTTTTTAGTCCAAATCCTGCACCTTCCAAAGAATCGAGAGCTCGTTTTTTAAGCCCAAATCCTCCACCTTCTAATTCATCGAGTGCTCGTTTCTTCAATCCGAATCCCTCACCTTCTAATGCATCGAGAGCTCGCTTTCTTAATCCGAATCCATCACCTTCTATTGCGTCAAGAATTCGCTTGTATATCCTAAATCTGTTGTTACCTTCCAATCCACCAAACTCATTTTCATCCAATGAATTTAATGTTTGTTTCGATTGGAATCTGCCGCTTTTTATGAAATCCTGCATTCTGTCCATACCATCAAATTCAGATTTTGCATCGTTAAATTCACCCAAAACCTGGAAAAAAATCTATTACTTACATTACATATTTTAATAGATATTTATTAGGATAATGATTTTGATCAATCAATTAATCGATCAATCAATCTAATCTTATCAATCTAACTATAAATACTTTCATATTACATGTTTTTATTGAATATTGCACAGATATATTTACCTTGTAATTATTGCAGTTGAACAATAGTCCATAATTTATTAATTTTATTTATTATAATTAATAACAAAAAACATGATTAAATGTTAAAGAATAATAGTATATCCAATTATTTATATCATACATTTAATTATTTGCTTTTATAAAATAGGAAAAAATTTTACCAGTGATAGGAGAACCAATGATAACATTTGATAAGCCAACATTAGCGATCCCCTTTTACACCTGCAATAATTATACATGTAATATCATTTTAAATATGATGAAAAAATATGAACGGAATTTCTTCATCAATAAAATAATCAACAAAGTATAAATAAGCAAGTATAGGTTAATGATTTAAGAGTATTGGTACTTTATCAATGTAGTAATTTCACTTTGATGAAAGCGTTAGTTTTATAAATATTATAATTTCATTTTGATAAGAATGCTAATTTTATAATATAACAATTTTACTTTGATAAAACAAAAGAAGTAATTTGTTGCCAAATAAAGAAAATCATATTATTATATTAATTCTAATTAAATTTTTATAAAAATTAAATGAGAAGTTTAAGTTTCTGGTAGAGTAAAATAGACGAAGATTTCATCCGTTGCAGAAAGTAGAAAATTTATGATAGACAATTCATTCATTTGTTATCAATAATGAAATTAGCTCAACTATTTTGCTTATTCGAACTCAACTTTCCTATTATTTTATTATATCGATTTACTATTATTATAATTTATATTCACGTTATCTTCATTATAAACATTTCATCTTCATTATCATCACTTCATTTTTGTTATAATTATAATGATTACGTCAATATAATATAAGGATATAATTATAATTATTTCCTTATAATTCGCTTGTTATTCGCTATATATTCAAATGTATTCATCCACTGAAAATAGAAAGCACAAAATATTTAATTTAAATATATATTCATTTAAATTAATCATTTATTTAAAACTTTTTTCATTGTTACAGTAATTGATGAATCGTTATATTATTTATTTAATTTATTTGTTTATTATTAATAAAAGAAAAACACTTACCTTTGCAACATTTGTAATTAACAAACAAATCATATAACAGGCGAAATGCTTTAATCAGTAAGTTGAAATTTCGAAATTCGTTTTAAAAGAAAAATACAGAAAATCATAATTTTGAAAATTTCCAAAATTTAATACCTAACATTTATGCTTGCAAATTATACGTCAAAATAAGAGAATAAAAAAGTAATAATCTTTTTAGAAATTTTAGAATAGTAGATTTTAAAAGAATTTTGGAGGTAATATATTTCAGATTATTCTCGAATTATTTAAAGGGATGAAGAAAATTGATTGTCCATTATGGAATGCGACACATTACTGATATTTATGATAATGTTTTATTGCGGTAAATTAGCATATATCCACCGCAAGCTTTCATTATAATTAAAAAAATCAATTCAATTGCTTTTCATAATTTGGTCTTAGACTTCTTTTTACGACATCGTGATAATTGGCTAAAATACAAATCAATTGTTCATAAATTGTCTTTTAGTAGCTAAATAAGTTTAATTTCTTACATTGTTTTATGAGTTCCAGTCTTATCTTTTCTTTTCCTAAATAATTCAATTATTTAAGTTTAAATAATAGTAACTTTTTCTAAAGTATAATATCTGAGATAATTGATCGATCATAATCATTTTAAAATTGAGAATTTTACAATTTCTAACAAATTTAAGCTAATAAGTTGAAAATGCAATAATTCCTGTCAACTAATTCATCCATCCATAAACTAATTCTTAATCAACTAATTAATTAATTAATAGGATGAATAAAGAGTGAAATATTATCATTTTTATTCTTCTAGGCTTTTCCCAGGAATATACATTGATGAATTTTGTCAATCAGAATAAAATGAAATAAATTATAGATAGGAATATGATAACGATGATAGAAAAGAAAATAATCAAATTTTTAATCATCTACTTATTTAGATATGTTATATACAGGAAATATACTATAAAATAAAAAAGAAGAATGGATGACTACCAATAATGTTTGTACCAATTAAAAAGAAAAATTAAAATGAAAATTAATATTTTTATTGAAAAGATTTAATAAATCTGGAATGTTAACCTAAAATTTACCTAAAATATATTAAGGGAAAAAAGAAACGAAATCTTTAAAGGGCATTTAAGTTTTATGAAAATAATTTTTCTTAACATTTAGCATTAAATAATTAATAATTATCATTACTGCAATTAACATTTATTACATTCCATCTAAGATATGATGAAATTTCAAATACTATTAAAGTTTAATCTTTGTAGGATGATAATTTCATGAAATAATGAAATGAAAAGGGATGAGATGTTTAGGTAAATAATGAGTGACAAAACAATAACATTTTATCCTTAAATAGTGCCTCATCATAATTCCTCGGATACTTTAGATAAAGTATTATTGAAGTATCATTATGTTTAAAAGTGATCATCTTTGTAGGATGATAATTAAATGAAAAGGGATGAGATGTTTAGGTAAATAATGAGTGACAAAACAATAACATTTTATCCTTAAATAGTGCCTCATCATAATTCCTCGGATACTTTAGATAAAGTATTATTGAAGTATCATTATGTTTAAAAGTGATCATCTTTGTAGGATGATAATTAAATGAAAAGGGATGAGATGTTTAGGTAAATAATGAGTGACAAAACAATAACATTTTATCCTTAAATAGTGCCTCATCATAATTCCTCGGATACTTTAGATAAAGTATTATTGAAGTATCATTATGTTTAAAAGTTATCCTGATTTCTAGTTTAAAATTTCCTGCGATTTACGTCTTATTAAAGTAATCAATAATATAATCTGTTTATAAACACAAAAGGTAGGAAGGATATAGCAAAAGAAGAATTGCAATTTTATTTTTTAATTTTTTTTTTTGAAAATAATATAACTTTGTTTATTGTTAGAATAAATAACTTATTTTCTTATTTAATATTATTCGGCTGTCAATAACATAATGGCTTTTTTTCATTTCAATTAATAACAACAAAAATTTTTTAGTTATTTCAGGATTTGAAACTTTTATTTTATTTATTACAAATATAAATAAAGCGGAAATATAGCAAAAAAAAAAGGACCGCAATTTTATTTTAAATTTTTTCTTTTGCCTTTTTTAGAGCAAAATAGGATAAAGGCTTTTAAACTAAGTAATGCCTTATCGTTTTACTACATTAGCTTGCTAATGTTGGATTTAGAAAGTTTGTTTATCATTTGTTAGTCTTTTAAATCTAACGGATAAATACGTAATAGATGATATGTTTATCAATGATAAATGCATATCATTCATTTTAATTGAACTAATAATTATTTTTTTTTTCATTCCACATTAATTTGTGATGTAAATTTAATTATTTAAATGATAGATTGAAAAGGAATGGAAAACTTGGAAAATTGTTAAATAATTAAAATGATAATTAAAATATCATTAAATTTCATAAATGTTCATTTGTTCTGACAATAACATTTTATAGGAATTTTAAAATTTCACTTACTGATATGCAAAATATTGTAATTAAAATAAATTGAAAAAATTAGTAATATAATTAAAACTTATGATAAATATAATAAACAATAGATGAAATTAAAATTTTAATTCTTTTGTTTTTTCATTATATTAGCTATTCATTATTTCATTATGTTAGCTATTCATTACTTCATTACATCATAGGTGTAAAATTTTCTTAACTACGAAATATTTGTATTTTATAAATACATTAAACAAATGTATTATGCATGTGAGAATTTTTGGATTTCTGAAGAATTTTCGGATGACAAATTTATGAAAAATTTTGCAATTGTTTATTGCAATTTATTAAATAATTAATTAATACACAACTGAAGTGTTATTTGTGCTTAAAAATTATAAGAAAAATTGAATAAATATCTTAGATAATTCTAAGATATATTATATGCATATAATAACCATGAACTATTAATTAATACAATTAAGAATTTAAAGAGATAAAAAAGAATTTAGCAAAAAGAACTTCGTCATTTAACAAAAGATAAAATTAAAAAAATAATAATTTATTCATATTTTAACAAATTTAATAATATATTACATGTATATAATAATCTTGAATTATTAATTAATACAATTAAGAATTTAAAAAAACAAAAAGAAATTTATCATTTAACAAAAAATAAAATTTCAAAACAATAATTCATTCGTATTTTAACAAATATAAATATTTAATAATAGATATATTATATGCATATAATAAACCTTGAACTATTAATTAAAGCAATTAAGAATTTAAAAAAGATGAGAAAAAAATTTAACAAAAAAAAAATAATTCATTCATATTTTAACAAATATAAATATTTAATAATAACAACAACAATATTATTACGATATTTCTAGTGGACCTATTTACTATTCGGTTGGCAACTAAATTGCTTTCTCACTAAATGCTCAATTTTATATAGTCATCAGTGGTACCCCTTTTTTTCAATGACATCAACAAAATCATTATTTCGTTCCTCTTTCTTTCTTGCATTAAATCTATCAATATCATGAAAACTTCATCAATCCTATTTTAAAAAATACACCCATATCAAAATCAATTAAAAAAACTTGCGCTTTTTTTTTTGTTAGCTTATTTAATTTTTCAATTAATGAATTTTATTAATTATTTTTATTTTCAATTATTGTTAATATTATCAATATTCATTTCATAGTTAATCATATTTTTTTTTTGTTTGTTTGTTTGTTAGTTTGATAATTATCAAAAAGGAAATGTTAGGAAAACAAACAAAGTTTATTTTTATTTTATATTAGCAAAATGATAAATATGAAAAAAAAAAGGGTAAATTAATATTTATAGTTTATTTTTCGGAATAATAGTTAACATTTAATTTATTCATAATTATATATTCATATTGAAAAAAAAAAAGAAGTTTCATATAGTTTGCAAGTTTTAAAAGTTGCTACGATGAATATATAATAAACTGATAATCAAAGATCTTTTTCATTCTTTCTTTCTCTCTCTCTCTCTTTCTTTTTCTCTTTCTCTCTCTCTTTCTCTCTCTCTCTCTCTCTAGTAGAAGATTTAATAACTTATAATACAAAATATTAAGTATTTGTATTTATCATTCAATGAAAATCAGTTAGAAATATTATTTTGTTTTAAATCTTAGACGATTTCTTTTTTTGAACGATGATTTCTTCTAAATGATATAAAATAGCATAAATTAGAATTAATTGAAAATAAAATGAAAATTGTGATAAACTATTTCGATATGAGCTGGTAGTATAATTCTTGAATTTCTGTCAATATCATTTTCTCTTAATCACCTTAACAATTTGCGAAGACAAAAAGCATTCTCAACTATTTGAACTGATAAATATTGTCAATAACTTTTCTTAGAAAAAAATAATTATTAATTCGAATTTGATAAACAATTCTATTACTGATAATTTACATGCAGATTTGAAATATTGTTGTTGACGAAAATAGCAGTTTTATTCTTTACTTACATAGTCATATTTATTTTATTTATTTGTTTAACCATAATTTTCTAATTTTTGTACAAAAAAATTTTTCAATTGTTTTTGTGCTAATTTATCAATTGCGACAATAAAAGTTTTGCTATCGTTTTTTTTTGAAGTGCCCATTTGATAAACATGATAAACAATATGCAAATGATATCGAAGAATTCATAAATGATAAATATATAGTAGAAATAAATGAAACAAAAAAAACGATATAAATAATTAAATAAAAGAAATGAAGTGGGAAGTATAATTGCCATTTAAAAAGATAATTAAAATAAATGCATTTTTTTTTTTTTGATGATTAATAAGAATATAATGAAAACAATTGAATGAGAAGTTATGATGAAATAATATTCATTTCAACTTAGAATTAATTGAAATAAAATCTAAATTGTTTAGAATATGAACTGGTAGCAGGATTCCTTTTCACTTAATCGATTTTACAATTTCCAAATTTGTGAAGACAAAAACAATTCTCAATTATTTGAACTGATAAATTATTTAACAATAAAATGATAGGCAAAAATTTTGGATAAACTATTCAAATCAATATACCATCTTGTATCACTGTAATAGTGATAAAAGAGATGGCATATTGATTTGATTTTCTTTTTTCCGACAAAATTTGTTGTGTTTGTATCGATGGATCGGAAAATTTAAAGTGGCATATTTCGCATTACGCTATCGCATTTCGCTATTCATTTTCAGTATTAGAAGTAAATTAGGAATAGAAATAAAATTAATGCTAGCTAAAATATGTTATCAAATAAAGATTTGTTGATATATCGATCGAATACACTGATAAATTTTAATATGAATTAAATTTCTGAAGAAGATCAAATTATTTACCAATTATTATCTTATCATTGCAGAAAAATAATTAAACAATAAGAAGTTGAATATCAAATAAATGAACAGTATTCGCTACCATGTATTTTCTAACTAGTAAAAATAGTATTATTATAAAGTATGAATGAAATTTTCGTATCACTTACTTTGCAAAATACGGCTTGAAATGATAAGGAAAACTTGTATAATTATTTATTATTGATGATTAAGCACAGCTTCTATATATCTCATTAGCAACAGGTAAACATTTACTATTATTAGTAATTATATATTTTTTAAAAATAAGTGATATGAAAGTTTCGTTGGTGCATATGTTGGTACCAGTGGACGCATAAAATGATAATATTATTAAACAACGAAGAAATATGTTTTGGTCAAGAAGAATTTAAGAAAATGATAATTTATAAATGCGTGAAGTTTAAAACACTTTATCAATTAATTCAAAAAACTGATAAAATTCCGGGAAGTCAGTAATCCTGATACGACTATGAAATTTGAAATGAAGTAAAATAATTGGTAAAAAATTGAACTGATATTATCATTATCATTTATTTTGCTCAAACATTTGCTTTTTTACTCATTTACTAAAACTTTATAAATTTGTAACATTCTTTATAATAAACAATAATAATTAAAAAATAGATAATTATTATTTTGCTTTTAAAAAGGTTAACAAAAATAGACAATTATTTGGTTGAAAAAGTTAACAAAAATAGACAATTATTTGGTTGAAAAAGCAGAAAACTCATTAGAAACAATTTTATTTCATCAAAACAACAAAAGCAACTTTATCAACGAAAAGTTTATCAAATAATTCCGGAAAAAGTCAACTTTTTTTTACACAACTTATTGGAAATTTGATGTAAAATGGAATGTTCTAATATTCATCAAACATTGTAATACTCATTGAACATTGTGTGTTAAATTACTTGAATGCTTTCGAGACAAAATTAAAAATTCGATCAAATCAACAAATATATTCGACCAAATTTTCGTTAAAAAGAAGTTCAAAATATTAAAAAAAATAGTCGTATGAACAACATATTTACGAAATATGGCAATGCTCACGAAATATACCAATGCTCACGAAATATACCAATGCTCACGAAATATACCAATGCTCACGAAATATACCAATGCTCACGAAATACACCAATGCTCACGAAATATACCAATGCTCACGAAATACACCAATGCTCACGAAATATATCAATGCTCACGAAATATACCAATGCTCACGAAATATACCAATGCTCACGAAATATACCAATGCTCACGAAATATACCAATGCTCACGAAATATACCAATGCTCACGAAATATACCAATGCTCACGAAATACACCAATGCTCACGAAATATAATAATGCTTATAGAATATGGTACTGCTTATGAATTATCGTAATGTTCAGTTTTTGTGATGACGAAGTAAATAAATGTGTTGTAAAAAATCGTTTATAATGTATACATAATAAAGAATTATATTTTATTATATAATAGTATGAAAATGTTTCACGTCTGCTTTTCCGCTGTGAATTCACGGAATAAAATTATTAGCAATTTGTAATTAGCATTATCTTACGCATAATATTTTATTTATTCAAGAAAAAAAATCTTAAATTGTTCAATTTTAGATAAGATGGATTAAAATTAACAACTATAAAATTTTAAAAATGCTAATTAAAATTGGTGGAAGATGCTCTTATGCTATTAATATTCTTGTTATAGTTTTATTATATAGCAAGAAATTGAATAATATATTCGGTGTAAAATCTATACTTTCACTATTTGAATGGTAGATTTGTAATTTCAAATATATCAAATATATTATAATTAAAAAAAGCTGGTATCAAATTACTAGCATAATATATTAACAGTTAACGGAAAATTATATAGCATTTTTTTAAATGTCTCATAAAAAAAAATGATAATTAGTATAACTGAATCATGAATCACTGAACAATTTTTGTATCACACATATTTATCGTATCAGGAATAGTAAGAACGATAATTAATATCAATAATGTTTAGTATATTTGATGTAAAATTTAAATTAATAGATGTTTATATTTTGTGATCTTTGATTTGCTTAACTAACTACAATGCTTGCTTGATTGACGTAACTATAATCATTAAATATTTTCCTACTAATTTGAAATCTAAAATTCAAATTTTAAAAGTTTTTTTTCTTAGGAAAAAAAACGAAGTTTCCCATTACAGAACAAATTTTTCAATTCGATGGCAATTTAGCTAAATTTCGAAATTTTGCGCTTAGTGTAACATTGAAATTATATGGTGTTTGCTCATTCATTTTCATTCCGATACATTACATTTACATTCAGTGAAAGTTAAAGTAGTCTTAATTTAAGCAAAGCCTTAGTAATATTGAATATTCTGCCGTCATAGTCATATATATATATATATATATATATGTTTCCTATGAATCAAAATCACAATGATGACGTTTAAAGATTTGTTGACTAATGCAAACATTCCATGTTGCCACTTCCTAATTATATGACATCATTCATTTCAAATATCAATTCAAAATTTAATTGCATTAATGTGATCGGTAATTTCGGAATAATACCAAAATTCGCCTTTAATGATTTGAACTGCAAAAAATATATTGTCTTTTATGAATTTGTAAAATTAATTATTTTTTTAGCTAATCGATTTATAATAAACAAATTATATTTAAAAGTTCTTTTATCAATGAATATCAATTAATCAATAAGGAAACTTTCAACGATTTACGATCAATTATTAATGAAACATTGAAATAACAGTAGAATGTATAAAATATAAAATAATTTCTTCCCCAAACTAAAAATACAAATAATTGGAAAAGGAAAATTTCAAATCACTCCATTTTATCATTTTCACTATTTCCTTTAACATTTTTACATTAACTGAAAAAAAATTCCAGAAAATAAGTAAATAAAGAAATGAAATAAAAGTAAATAATAATATTAAAAAATTATTCAAACAAGTATTAATATCGAAGAATATTCAAACAAAGATAATTTTTAATTAATCTTAATTAATGATTAAATTGTAAATTTAAACAATCAAAAAATTATTTGCAACATTTATCATTAAATATCTATCGTTGTATCGAAGTGAATGAAAATTGAAGCTCTCAACACATAACTAAGTTATCATTCAAACTTTTCCTTCTTTTTTTTTCATGATAAGAAGTTTGATCTCTCTTAATGTATTCATCATTAAACTTTGAAAGTTTATTTTCGAAGTTTTTTCTTGCTTATAGAATTAATCGGTTGAAAATTTTCATCCCAACAAAACTTTTAATTATTCCATTGAAAATTTTCATTCCAACAAAATTTGGTAGATTTAAAAAAAAAGAAGAAATGAATTTCGAAAAAGTAACAAATTATAAAAAATGGTCATTTCAGGAAGAGTATTATGAAAATTGAAAAGGGTAAATTAAAATTTATGAGATGTTGAAAAGTGAAAAGGGAAAAAAACGAAATAATGGTAGTATATCTTTTCCCTCTTCTTATTATTCCCAAGGAATAAAGAATTCCTGAGGGGAAAAAAGTAAACTTTTTGTAAATTATTTTAAAGTGGAAACAAAATAATCAGTTGTTGTTGATGATGGAATTAATGATGCAATTAATTATCAGGGGAAATTAATTATCAGAGTAATGCATATATAACTAACAATTTTTTTCATCCATTATAAATTCAATAAACGAATTTATGAAATAAAATAGGAAAATATGCTATCAGCCGGTATTTGACAACATTACAATTACCGGAAGATCTTTATTAACGATGAAATTCGATCGATAAATTTATAAAACAAAACAGAACCTTTTTCGGTCAATATAATTTCAGAAAGTTAAAAGAACAATCTATAAAAGATTAAATTGTTAAGTGCAATTGCTTAATTATAGTCCATAAAATAAAATAAAAGAAACATTTATCATAGTTTATTAAAAAAAAAAGCGATATAAACGATTAATTAATGAATTAATTAATTTTTTTAAAGTAGAAAAAATTTTTTAAAAAACCTTTCTTTGAATAGTTAATTACGACAAATCATTTCATACTTCTCTTTCAACACTTTCATCTAATTTGTTCTTTTCCTTTTTTTTTTAGGAAAGATTTAATTATCAATTGTTTTAATCAAACATTTTCCTAATTAACAATCATTTGAAAATGTTTCATTAAATTTTAAAATCCTTTTTTTCTCTCATCAAATTTTCAATGAAAAAATGAAGGAAATAAAGAAGAAAATATTCCAATACTATCTATCTGATTATAGAATTATAAAAAGATGGGTTAGCATAAAATAGAAATAACTGACTGATTATTTGATTCGAATAGTATGTGTTACTTTAAGATTAGTGGTTGTTTACTAACATTAAAATATTTAATTAAATTTTAGTCTTCACAATTACTCGCTAAATTTATTGTTATTTTCTTGCTCAGTAGAAAGCACTAAAGTGAAATTGAGTTATTTCGAAAAGTTACCAAAACTAAATATTTTAAAAAATTATTAAACTATCAAGCTATTATTATTTTAATATTAGCTGTTGATAAACTCCTCAAATATTATCAATTCATTCAATCATCAACTACTATTGTTTTAATGATAGCTGTTGATAAATAAAATCTTCAAATATTATCAATATTTTCATTAACTGATTTTGTTTATTTATCGAATGCAAAATCTAGTAAAATGCAACAATGTTGATTTTCACAATTTAATTTTGATTGATTTGATCAGATGAAAAAATCAATTTTCTAATAACATATGCATATCGTATTGTGTAATTATTCTTCGTTGCATTTGTTTATTGATATTTTTGAAATAAAAATTTTTGATTAATCACCGAATAATTACTATTCAATGATGTAAAAATAGAAATAACTAATTACTCTGATATATGATTAAAAGATGTAATTACTGTAATCGGGAATAATCAAATTAAGTAGTTATTGCTTTTATTTTTGAGATATACGACCATTATTAACTAGTTATTATACTTTGACTATCCAATAATTTATAATATCGTTATTCCATGGCATGTAATCACTTTGAGGGTAATCACTATCAAATATATAATCATTATCAATTAATCATTTTGTGTTAAATACGTATTATCAAGTAACGTTATTCTATCAAATATAATCAGTATCAGTTAGTTATTTACAATATATATATATATATATTGTAAATATATATATATATATATATATATGAATATGAAATAGAAATTCATTAGAATTTCGATGACGAAAGGAAGTCTATCAAAAAATAATGTTAGTTCAGCTGCGCTATACTAATACTTATTCTTGCCAACAGCAAAATTTTTCAGAAATTTTTTCCGAAATTTCCACCAGCATGCAATTTATTGGTAAGATATAACGGCATAGAAATATTCATTGCTTTTGTTTTCATCGTATAATTTTTGCAATATTCTCATTATCATCATTTACTGATAATAACGATTATCAGTAATCAAATTATGATTATCTTTTCTCCTATCCATACTTTTATTGTAAATATAAAATTTAAGTGATATTTTTAAAATTTTTCATTTAAATATTCGAATAACTATATTTAGGCTTTAAATAAATTATAACTAGGAATTTTATAGCAAGCTTAAATTATGATTCAAATTTCATTTCTAACTATAATGGAATTTGTAAGGATAATTCGTTTTTTGATGATAAGCAGGATTTTAATCAATTCCGCTTAAATTTTATCATTTAAATATTACTAATGAAATTGTTTGAATATTTGCTGCTGTAAAAGTAAGAATAATTTATCAATAACAAATACCAAAATAATTTCACCTAAAATATTAAAGTTTAAGTAAAAGTTTATAAGAGTTAAAATTGTTAAAAATTTCTCGTAAAAATTATATGCTAAAAAACTTTTTGATGAAATTATTGCTAAAAATTAATTAAATTTGAAGTATTTCACAGAAAAAATATTAGTAACAGATTATGATAAGAATTTTTTGCTTTTTTCTTTCTATGAATAAAACAATAAAAATTTTTTAGGCATAATTATCTGAACAAAAAGACAAGCAATGACAACAATGTCACAAAATCAGGCCTGGTATTCAATTATTGGTTATTTGTATATTAAAACGAATATTGGAGGTATGAAGAATGCCTAGTGCATAATAATATTTCCTTCCACATTTTAGTATTATTTATTATTAGCTAATCATTTAATAATATTATATATCAATATTTTAATGCTTCTTTTGCTTCCCATAAAAAGTGATCAAAATCTTTAAAATTTCTTTTATGAATTTAATGCAATAAATTAGCATAGCATTTTTGGCTAAATATATTAATATTAGCATAGCTAAATATTAACAAATTTTAGCATAGCTAAATATTTATAAACTTTAACATAGCTAAATATAAATTAGCATGGCTAAATAATAACAAACGTTAGCATAGCTAAATATTAGTAAACTTTAACTATAACATAGCTAAATATAAATTAGCATAGCTAAATATTAACAAACTTTATGTTGCATAAAATGAAAGTACAAGTAATAAACAGTAAAACTTTGATATTTCAATAATACCTTTGCTTACTTTTAACATTGAAAATGTTTAATTTAAACAAACTGTAAAAATTCCGAATTGTAGCATTTTCACTATTAAAATCACGAAAACGGATGTTTTTTGCATTGGATGAAAGCAAAAATTTGCTTAACTCATATAAGGATGAAATGGATTTCCTGAAGAAGAAAAAACCGTTGGAGAAAATTCCATTAAATTATGCCGTTTGTACATTGGGAGCAAATTCGGAAACCGAATTCGTTATTCAGTATATTTTCATTAATTTTTAGCTTTTATTATCGAAAAATTTCTTTCTCTTTTTGTTACCTGTAATTACCAAAAACAAAAAAGGCCTAATATTTATTTTGGTTCTTTTTTCAAATCATTTGTAAATTGAAAAAAAGTTTTTCATCCTATTTTCAACACTAACATTTAGTTTTGATATTTGAGATTAAATTTTTTCGTAACGACGAAATTTTTCAAAAATTTTAAATTGCTTTTTTATGGAATTAAATTATTTATTATTTAAGCATAATTATTTTAATTATTTATGCATAGTTATTTCAATTTTTAGAAGTTACAGAAGTTTCGAGATTTTATTTATGTCTTAAAAAATAAGTTATTAGAAAAAAAAGCTATTCTACGCTTTTAAAAATTTCATTTAAAATTATCATATTTTAATAATAATTCAAAATGGTTTTAAAATTTGATAATTTGCTTCTTCAATCAATTTAATATATGTTTAATTAAAAGGCTCGTTATTTCATAAAAGGTTAAAAACAATGACCTTTTCGAGTTAGATTGTAATATTTGATAGGTGTAGGACAATTTCACTTTCAATAATCTGTTATGAATTCAGTATGCTCCACGGTCGGAAAAAACATAATTATAATAGAGGTCAAGGTGAAACTTTGATGAGACAATAATATAATTCAGGTCAAATAATAATTTATTTCTATTTCGAAGAACTTTAAACATTATTCTGAAGTTCGGCTAATTGGAAAATTTTTCATTCTTTGTATTTAATTATGATAGATAATTGGAGTGGAATAATTTCAATCATTTTAATGAAAAATAAAATAAAATAAAATGGATGAAATCTTGCATAGTTTGATATTATTAATGAAATAACAAAATTTTTTATTTAAAAAATTAACTTTCCATGAAAGTTGTTATTCCTTTATTTTGTAATTATTGTAAATTTTTAATTGGAATAATGAAAAAATCTGTGAATGATTTTAAGAAAAAAACCTGAAATTAAATTATGAATGTATTTTAGGATAAATGGCAATTTTAGAATGAAAATGGAAAACTGTTATCTCTTAAATTTTAGCATTTTGAATTAAACAAGTAGTATTAGCCGTTGATAATTAAAGAATGATAATTAATAATAATTACTGTTGATTAATAAAAATTAGCTTATCAATTTCGCACACTGATGATTCTTTTTTTTTAAGAATCAGCAGTGTGCGCAATTGATAAGCTAATTTTAATGATTTTAATGATTAGCAATTAATGGTTTTTAATGATTTTATTCTTTCATTTTGATTAGATCAATTACGCTAATAATTTTGTTAAAATTATTATTGATTAAATAGTGAATAAAAAGAAAGCAATAAAAATTCTAACCTAAAATTGGCCTAATTTTAGCTTTTTTGTTATATAAATGATAAAATTATCAATGAGCTTTTAATTCTGATAACATTTAACTTTCAATCATTAATAAATAAAATTCAAATAGTTTTTATATTATTCTTTATTCTATCATGTTATCAACTTTAAATAATTAGCAATTAAGCATTTTTAATGATTTGTTTATTATTTGTTTTCGCTAAATTAATGGATGCGATAATAATTTAACAACAATAAAACTTTTTATTCAAACGAAGTAAATACAACATTAGCTAAAGATGAAAAATCAAATAATTTATAAAAGATGTTTTATTATATATTTTTTAATTTATAAATTAATAAAGATGAAAATTTCTTCTAACAATAAAATGCAATAAAAGAGAAAAATATTTCAAATAATTTGTTAATTAGTAATTATCGTATATTATAGTGTGGGACATTTTAATATTTGCTACAAATTTTCATTTCTAATATTTAGCACAAAAATTATTGAATTTAATACAGGTAAAATTTAATTATGCAAATTTAAATTTAGAAAGGGAAGAACCTGTAATTAAAAATTTTATATATGCAAATTTAAATTTAGAAAGAGAAGAACTTGAAATTAATTTAATAATTAAAATGCAGAAGCTTTAAAAAAATCAACATTCAATCATATTTTTATTTTTGTCATATTATTACTTAGGCCTTTTTCAACCAAAATGATAGGATTGTTTTTTGCATTAAATAAAATAATAAAAATGTATTTCTAAATTTAACGAAAACAAACAAAAGGTATTTTGTAAGAATAAAGGTATAAAGTTTATTGAATAAATGAACGAATCAAAATTTCATTTAATTCAAATATTTAATTTTAATTAAATGATTTCTTTTCATTTCCAATTCTTTGGCTTTTTTGTTTCTTCACTGTCTTAATCCATTCTTTTTCCTTTATAGTATTGATGGGCGCAAATTGGAATTTGGAGCGGAAAATGAACAAAGTGCAAACAAATGGTTTAATGCGTTACAACATCGACGTGAAAACGTTGAATTAATTACAAGCGTACGACGGAAAAAAGAACAAAAACATGAAGAGATATTTGATGAAATTACATCAGTAAATTTTCAATTTATTTCTTAGTCTTCTTTGAAGCTAATATAATTTATCATCCATTTTTCATTTCTTCAATTCATACTTAACAAAATAAACTAAAATTACATTTATCATATCATCTAAGTAATTAATATTGAATAGTAAGTTCAAATAATTAATTTACAACAATTTTTATGAAAATTACGAAAAATTACAAAAATATTTCATGAATTATGATTATCGTTTTTATTAATGATAGAGAATGATGATCAAGATATGAATGTAAATGATAAAGAATAATATTTTGAAATGATGAAGAAAATATGATGACTGATATTTAAATTAATACAAATTATCTTTTCATTCAAATAAATTACGTAATTAATTTTTGAAATATTATTTGAAGTCTTTAAAATTTATTATAAATGATAAAAATATGGTAATGTTAATTTTTAGATAAAATAATTAATGCAATAAAATATTTGGAATGGATTAGATAAAATATTCAGTTTTCCCAGTTAAGCTTTTCTTCAAAACATATTTTAAAATGAAAATCGATATAGAAGGAGAAAATATTTTAAAAACAAAAATATTATAATTAAATTTCTTTTTTCAGAGTGAAAATGATTGCGACGATAATATTTGTATGAATGAAAAGCATACTGAATTGATTGCAATGAAAACTAAGGTGGTGCAAGGGAAAAGCTTAAAATTAATTAGTTACGTTTTATTAATAATATCAGCTGTAACTAATTGAAATTTTTCATCAAACAAAGATGCAATAATTTTGTTTTCATTGTTTTGAGAAATTACAGATTTGAAAAATGGTTATAATGGCAGTCGTTCAATGCCATCTTTTGGAGCAAAAAAATCAAGTTAGTTTAGAAATCTAATACGAATCATTCTTATGAAATAATTAGTAAGATTGAAAATTTTAAATTAATAAAATTTAAATAATTATGGATTTGAGAAATAGATTTGTCGACAATTGTTTCACGGATAATTAATTTGATTTATGAAATGTTATGTGATAAGATATGGCAGGCATGAAGTGCAAATGATATGTTGGGCACTGGAAATTACCTTAACTAATTTTACGGCTAAAAGTAATTACTTAGAAGATTAGTCAAAACAAAACAACTTTTCGTACCAGTTCAATTTAGAAAGGTGAAACGGAAAAAATCAGGAATCATTACAGACATTCATCGAAAACATTCCGGACATTCATGCGGTGATAAACATAATCGTGAACGGCTGCTTAATGAAAATTCAATGGTATTGTTGAAGTTTTAGTATCAATTAAAAATTTGTTAATGGATAGATGAGAATGACAAATGAAATCGTTTAAATAATCATTAATCTTTCAACCGGATAAAGATATGTGAAATTTTGTAAAGTAAATATAAAAGATTTTTTTGTTTTAAAATTGAACGATCATAATAAATTAACAAATATAAATATATTACTATTTTTTTTTCTACATAATTAATAAAATAGAAAACAAAAGAAATAAAACTAATAAATTTCATAAATTAATTTTTTAAACGAAAAATCTTTTTTTTTTTTAAAGTAAACTTTTAAAAGTAAACATTAAACGTATCAGTGAGATTTGTTACATTCTTGCAATTCGTATGCAAATGGAAATGAAATGAGGAAATTAATTTTGAAAAAAAGGAAAGAAAATTTCCAATAAACTTTTCCTATCAATCGAATAAATTACGGAAAAATAGCTTCACTACGATGATAGAATGATGAAAATTCCGCTGAGGGACAAGAAATGGATTCATGAATGGATTAACGGACAACCATTTGAGAAGTGCAATTATGAAACAGGAAGGATTTCTGTTGACAGCAGGTACTATTTAGTTTATGCTTTAGATAAGAATGAAATTTTTTTAATTTAGAAAAAAGGTATTTTTCAGTAAAAAATTGATAGCATAAAAAATGGAATTAAATGAGAAATAATTTTGGGAATTTTTAAAAAAACAAATCAATTAAAATTACATCTAAAATATAATGGTTCAATTGAAGTAGCTGTACAAATGGACGAAGTATGAGAGCTTCTGATATAGCAACATATGATGATGATGCTGATGTTGATGATAATGATGATGATGATGATGATGATGATGATGATGATGGTGATACTGATAATAATGATAATGATGATAATGGCAATGAAATATTACCATATGATAATGTGTAATTGAATTTATCAATAATTACTTTCGATTTAATAATCATTTAAAAAGTTTTCAATTCTTCTTTAACAGAGCAAATACAATAACTTATATTTTTCTATTAATTACTGAAAAATGATGAAATAAAAGAGAGAGAGGGAGAAGGCAGAGAGAGAGAGAGAGAGAGAGAGAGGGAAGGAAAATGGAAAAGATGAAAATTATGTTAAAAATTTGGCAGTTAAATATTTTCTTCAATTTAAGAATGATATTAAATTTGTACAGAAATTTTCATTCTAAGCAATTAAATTTAATTATATTAAATTGCATAACAATTTTTGTTCAATTAAATTTGAAATTAATTTATTACTAATTAGAACTGTCAACAATGGCAATTTTTTATTACTTGATTTAATTTTATTTACTTAGTATTCATATTCCAATATCAATAAACTAATTTTTAGCTAAATGCAATAATGATTCTTTTATTTAATATATACGGATATAGGTTTAATTTATTATTTACTTATCACCTTCATAATTTCAAATATCAATAAATCAATTTCAGATATCATCAAAAGGAATTGAATTGGTTAAGAGCTATTACAAACAGGCAGAAAGCAAAAATTGAAGAACTTAATGAAGGGAAGAAAATGTTATCCATTGAAGTTGCACAACTTAAAGATATCATGTTTGTTAACATTTTTCACTAAACGATTTATCGTATAATTTTCACTCTCTTAAATTCGATCATTTTATTTTCCCTTTTACTTCCCCCTTTTTTAAACTTTTATCTCATTAATTAGACATAAGAAATTTTTCCAATTTTCCCAATTTAAAATGTAGGAAAAATATTTAAATTTAATTATTCAGAAGGAAAACATCTGTGAAATTTTTTCATATCATTAAATTGATTTAATTGCCGAAATTTTTTAGTTAAATTTTCACCTTTTCCATTTCTTTCTTTCCTCTCTCTCTCTCTCTCTCTCTCTTTTTTACTTCATCTTTTTTTTAAAAAAATGTTTTTTAGTAATTTTAAAATTGAAAAAATTTTTTATCCTTTTTGATTTATTTTGTTTGTAAAATATTGAATGAATTTTTGGAAATGTTACAACGACAAATTTAACAACCGAACAAACATTTTCATTGGCAAATCGAAACAAATTTTTGAATAGTGAAGTGATCCGATTGTTGAAACGTTGTGCTGCACAACAAAAGCATACTTTCCAGTTAAAGCAGTATGTGTCAATTGGAATGTTTCATTTTTGAAATTATTCATAATTTTATTTTTCAAGCAAATTAATAATTTCAATTTGAAGCCATTCTTAGTTTTATTTTAAAAACAATCATTTCATTTTTGAAATTTACTATTTTCATGTATTTTGAAATAACAAATAATAATTTTGAAGTAATTGATAATTTCAATTTGAAATAATTTATAATTTTATTTTAGAAGCAATCATATGTTTCATTTTTGAAATTACTATTTTCATGTATTTTAAAATAAATAATTTCAATTTCAAGCTATTCATAATTTTATTTTAAAAACAATCATACGTTTCATTTTTGAAATTACTATTTTCAGGTATTTTGAAATAATAAATAATAATTTTGTTGTATAAATCATTTGCAGCATTATAATTGAAATGATTAAGAGTTCGATAAATAAATATATTAATATAATAAGCAAAATATTTTATAACTTCTCTTGAATTAGCTCTTATTTTATTCTATGCTTTGTTTGCCACTATATTATCGGATGTCATATACTTAAATACCGAAATAATTGAAATATTTTCAAATTAAATCAATCGATAATTCTATAACTTTGCACAAATTAGGAAACTTATAAGAAAACTATTCAAACTTTAATCTATTAAATATATTCAAATATTATCTGCAAAAATTATCAAATATAACAGATTTCATTTAATTTAAATTTAAGTTTATTTCAATCCAAAAGTTTCTTTGTTTTAGATTAAACGAAAAGCTAATCGAAGATTTAAATAATTTTAAACGAGAATATGTATTTTTGCTACAAAGTTGTATTGAAATTCCACTTGACGAGCAACAATCGGTTAATGTACTTCAGGTGAAACTACTCGGTAGCCATATTGTATGTTTTAATCATTTTTATCAAAATTTTCTTATCAGTTGCAATAATAGAAATATTTACTTGTTCGAGAATAAGATCTATTCTCGAATAGCATATTTCCTTTTACTTATACTTTCTTGTAAACAAACAAATATCATATATTTCTTATCATTTCTTTTTGACTGTGATAATATTGTTTTCTACTAGCATAAGAAGCGTGTGATAAGTTTATTGAATGAAGCACGAGAAATTGATCCAACATTACCAACTTTTGAAAGGTATTTCTTTATTGATAATTTAACGAAAATTTTGCTTCCTCTTCTATAATAATATTTTTTCAATGATTCATTCAATTTAGTAGAATTATTTTTAAAATTTTGAAATTGAAAATTTATTCAGATGAAATGTAACATTTCTAAAAATTTCAGTCAATTAAAAAATTCAATTTATTGTTCTTGTTTTTTGCTAATTAATACTTTTCCTTTCTTTTATTCTTCCTTTGTTTTCTTAAAGTTTAATATTATTTGGGAATTATTTGGATATCTTCGGATTTCAACGATCATTTGATGATGAACAATTAGCATTACATTATATTTGCACACAATTGTATGCACTTTATTTGGAATGTGCACCTGCGCAATTGCAACATCGAATTACGTGGAAACGATATTTGAATGATTGCAATTATCAACGTTGCAATAAGGTAAAGTGATTATTTAATGATAATAACGAGAAAATTTTAGCAGAATGATTATTTGATAAGAGTTTTAAAAAAATTGGTAAAATGATCGTTTGGTGATAACATCGAGAAGAATTTAGCAAAATGATTATTTGATAATAATCTTGGAAAATTGATAAAATAATCATTTGATGATAACATCGAGAAGTTCCAAAAACGATTACTTAATAGAAATGTTGAGAAATTGATAAAATAATTATTTAGTGACAGTGTCAGGAGTTGTTCTGTGATAATTTTAAAAAGTTACTGAAATGATAATTTTATGATAATATCAGCGAGTGATAAATTGATTAATAATTAAAAAAAAAACATTGGTCATTATAAAATTATTAATTGGTGTAATTAAATTAAAAATGATCTATAGAAACTTCTTCATATGAACGCAAAAAATATAACAATTTTAAAATTCCAATTTTTTTTTACAACATCAAAAAACTTTTTTTGATTGAAATGATCTTAAGAATGAGGTACGTATGCTTGTTCAAACTGGTGTACCCGGTGATTTAAGACCAACCATTTGGAAATTACTCATTCATCAACAAATTGCTGATATTAAGAAAAAATTTGGTAAATATTATTTTCGTGATTTATGCAATACACGTGGATCACTTGATGAAACAGAAGTTTGTTTATTTTTCGTCTGTTTTCTTTCTACATTTTTGTTGATTGGAATTTTTATTAAAATTTCATTTTATTTTTGAAAAAAAATATTTTAATACACTCTTTTTCTTTTCTGACTTTTAGTATAAATATTCATATATTAATTTAATATTTTTTCCAATATATTTTTAGTATTTTTCTTATTCAAAATTATTTCACAATTTATTTTCAAATTGAATTTCAGTACAGAGATAATCATCAAAAGCAAATAGCGTTGGATTTATTGCGTACATTGCCTGGTAATATACATTTCATGTCACCAACATGTAAAGGAGTTCGTTTTCTTTTCCCAAAAATTTTGCTTTAAGTTTTATTTTGTCGAATACGAAGAATTCCATTTGTTATTTTGTATGATAAATAAAAGAATTGATAGATTGTTCTATTTTATTATCTGGCATTTATCCAAATTAAAGTAGAATATCAAATATTAGGTTTAAGATTAGAATAAGATCTCATTATTTTCATTTGTCTTAAAACATAACAACACAGAAATCTTTCATACTGTATAAATTTTGTATCAAATTTTATCTGACTTCTAAATATTAATCGGAATAGCTTTTCAGATTCAGCAATTAGAGCAAGTACTCCGTGCTTTCTGTTTTCATAATCCGGTAATCGGTTATTGTCAGGGAATGAATTTTATTGCTGGAACAGCAATGCTTTTTCTTGGTGTTGAAGATACATTTTGGTTTTTGGTTGCAGTTACGGAAAAATACTTCGATAAATCATATTTCGATTATGCATTAACCGGAGCACAAGCTGATCAGGTATCCATTTATTACAATGGTATTTTTGAAATTTTAAAAGGATGGATTTTGAAATGAATTTGAAATGTACAAGATGGAAAATTCAAAAAATCAAAATAATTAAATAAATTTTAAGAAATAAAAATTAATAATTTTGTTAATGAGATTTAAAAATTTAATGCATGATTATTACAGGAGGTACTAAAAGAATTGGTTGCAAGAAGATTACCTCGATTAGCTGCTCATTTAGATCAATGTGGTATCGATTTAGCTACAGTAACACTAAATTGGTTCTTGGCAGTATTTTATGGTGCTGTACCTTTTCAGGTATTTCATTACCTGTAAAAAATTATTATTAAAAAATTTTTTACATATTTATTTATGCATAAAAGCATTTGTTTTTCTGTTGTAAATTGTTTCTTTCCTACAAATTGTTTGGAAGACTTTTTTCGTAAAATACTATAAAATAAATTATTGTATTTGTTGGCTGTAATTTATTTAAAAAAAAGTAATAATTAATTTTTTTTAAAATATATATGTGGAAGTTTTCAATAGTTTGACATAGTAGTTTTTATCAAAATGATACCATTATTTCCCGAAACAAAATTAATTATAAATTAATTCATATGGAAATTTATAATCCTCTTCAACAATTGCTACACCAAATCAATCCAAGAATTTATTATAGTTAACAAAATATGAAAATATTATATGTGTTAGAGAGATTTCCGATTTTCAAAATTATTCATTTGCATATCAAAATTAAGCAGTCAATTGGCATATGTACATACACATACACATACACATACACACACACATACATGCAATCACACATACATATCATACCACTTTTATTTCACAGTTATCCAAATCATTCCCGTATATGTTGGTGAAAAAGGTGTCTGATCTGATGTCAAATATTTGTAATAACTACCTTCCCAATAAAAATTCATATTTGAAATTGTTATTGATACAGTTTGCCCCACAACATATATTAATCGATCATTTTGGTCTATAAAATTTCTGTTTACTTATATTGAATCATCTGTATTGATCCATCATACCTTACGTGGTCTAATTTTGCCCAATGAATTAGCCATAAGCCCGTAAATGCACTGTGTTGCTAATTATGTGCATTTAGAAATTAGCAGCACGGCGCATTTGCGCGCAATCTGGCCAGACCTATAATATCGTACTTACTACTATTCGACGGTATTCAATCCATTTGATTTATTACATTTATTTGTAAAACAAAAAATTATAAATTTTAATTAATTTTTCTTTTTAAAAAAAAAGAAACAATAATTTTTCTTTATCTCATTTATTTATAGACAATGATTCGAATTTGGGATTATTTTCTTTTGGATGGTACAAATGTGCTCTTTCGATTTGCGCTTGCAATTTTATCCATTCATGAAAAAGAAGTGCTTCAACGGAGTGATACCATATCAGTTATCAAAATTCTAAAAGCATCCGTTCGTCTAACATATGATTACGATGGATTAGTCAATGTTAGCAGTAAAATTGAAATTACTTTATAATACAAAAAAAAGGAAAAAGCTTACTAAAAAATAATCGGATATCACTGATGTTATGCACAAATAAATAATCAATCGTCAGGCAAGCAACCATTTTGTGCTAACGTAAGTTACGTAAGATACTGCTAAAATGAGTTACGTAACATACTGCTAACGTGAGTTACGTGAGACACTGCTAATGTGGGCTACGTAAGATACTGCTAATGTGAGTTACATATGATACTGCTAACGTGAGTTACGTAACATACTGCTAACGTGAGTTACGTGAGACACTGCTAACATGAGCTACGTAAGATACTGCTAACGTGAGTTACGTAAGATAGCTAACATGAGTTACGTAAGACACTGCTAACGTGAGTTGCGTAAAGTAAAATTTTAAATTATTTTTGATATTAAAAAATTTCAGGGGGAGAGAAAGAAAGAAAAGTAACGATTATATATGAAAACACTAATAATAATACAAAAGAGAGAAAAAAACAAAAATTTAATATTAAAATATTTTTCATAAATTTGTTAAAGAAAAGGAAAATTGTGAAAATTTTAGTTGGCATTCGACAGTAAACATCCATTCCCAACAAATTCTGAAATTGAACATAAACAAAAATGGTATTTAAACATATTGCGAAAACGATTAAATCGGAAAGAAAAATTACGAAAAGTGTTCACATTATTATCATTGGTAATTCTTTCCAACAATTTTTATGAACTATTGATTAGATGAAAAATTGAATGATAAATTTGAATGATATTGAATGAATGATAAATGGATGATAAATTTGAATGATAAATTACGAAAATATGATAGTGTTGGTGTACGTTGAAAGTTTTCAGTGATACACTACCACGTTTACATTTAAATCATATTTACGCTTAATATAGTTTATAATAAATAAATTTGTTAAATATTTAAAATATTTGAATTATTTAAAATGTGAAATTTTAAAAGGATAAATTTTAAAATGTTTTAAATATTCTAATTGTTCTTGTATCAATCATAAAATGATAGAAATTTTAAGTCATAAAAGTAACAAATGCGTGTATTATTTGTTACAAATGGGAGCAGTTATTAATTTACTAATTACAAAAACTTAACAAGTGCTAAATGAAGAAACAAATAAACAAATGAATTAAATTAGATGAAATGACCAATATAAGCAACTAGGTAAGTAAATTAAATGAACGCGCAAATGAATGGTAATCGCATTTTATTATCAGGAAAGATCTCGATTTCCAACAATTGAAGTTGTAACATTTAGTACGGATCAGGAAGGTACAGTTTATGTTTGTGCAGGTCATCAAACGAAAGGTATTATTGCTCGTTTTAATCTTATTAGTAAAATTTCAACTATGGGCAAACTTGATACTGAAGTAAGTTAAATTTTTCCTAATTAACTAATATTATAAATGACAGTATTATTATGATTAGTTGAATATTGCAAATTAAAACTATGCTTTCTTGGATAATTTCAAAAACTAAAATGAACTTTAACAAATTTTAAAATTGTTTAAATTTTCTGCTAAATTTTATTCTTCTAAATAGAGAGGATAATATGTTAATATAGAAAATTATAAACTCGTTATCAAGCATTTTCATACAATTTATGCGTGAAACATTTGCACATCTCTCAATACAATTTGCTATTTAAATTAATGGTACTCCAAGTTAACATTTCAGGTAAATTTAGAATTAACTTTTTAAAATGAATTTTTAGTTTGATTGTAAAATTTTTTCAATGGCATTGAGAGAAGGTGAAATTGCATATGTTTCATTATTATCGCGTTATATTGCTGCATTACAAATTAAAGGTACGAAAAGGTATAATTTTTGTAATTTAATTAATAAATAATATTTGATTATAATATTATTATTTTAATTTAACCAATTACTATACTTTTGTAATTGATTTATTGTTCAATTTAATTTCATAAATTACTCTTGCTTAATTAAAGAATAACTTAATTAGTATTGCATTAGTAATACACAAAAATTATACGAATTACTTGTATATTAATTACAGCGAAATATTGTGGGAAATAAAAATATCCGATATTGCACTAAAATTATTATACAAAGATAAACTTTTGTATGCAGCACTTGCCAACGGTGTACTTACCATTTTTGAGGTATATTTTTGGTTCTTACCTACTAATATTTCTTTCATAACAATTTTCTATACAACAGATTAGACATCGATAAGTTATGAAAGCATGAAAATGATGACTGATGAAATAATGTAAAGTTAAATATGATTCGTATACAAGAAGAAACAAATTCTTGACGTTAAATTGAAATGAATCCATTATGTATATGGTAAGAAAATAATTATTGGTTAGTGTAAGATTCTCACGCCATCGTCAACAATCACGTAGTTACGTAGGTGGATAATTGAATAACTATAATTGCTAATATTAGTTATGAAAAAAGTAAAGTAACAGAGAAAAGATGAAATATTCGTATATTATTTATAGCAAATGATAAAATTGAGAAAATAATTATTACGATATATAATTAGTAATTATTAATAGGAAAAGAAATATGAAAAGTACGATTTTTTTCTGTTTACTAAATTTCTGTTTTTCAATTACAAAACAATAAATTGAATATAAAAGTCATGGAAAAGTATTAATAACCCAATGAAAATTTATCAATAGTATTATTATAATATGTTGATTAAAAATTTTTATTACCAAATCCATTAATTAATTTTTACATGGGAGAAAAAAGTCAATGTAACATAACTCGGATGGGTAACGTTATGCAACTTCTGATGTCCAACGATCAAACTATGAAATTAATATTTTTGCAGTTGCAAAAATCATTTAAATTTTTCAGTAAAAATATATTTTTATGCAAATTATTGATGGCATATTTTTTAGAATATATAATACTATTACATTTTTTTTAAAGATATATATTATTTCTACAGTATTTTTTTCTTGTGTTGCAATTAAATTGTTTGATTAATTTAGTTCGCTTTTTTCTTTTGAATTCTAGAATGTGAACGAAATTGTACCGACTGTTATCGAAATACATAATTTACCGATTAGTACAGCACCGATTACAGAAATGAGTATCGTTGATGATACATTATGGCTTGCATCTGCATGCAAAATAACAATTATTTGCACCAAGTAAGCTTGAGTACTTAAATTAATTAAACTAATATTCTATCTTTGCATATATCAACGAATAACATCCGGTATTCTGTATAATTAAAAAGATTTGCCTTTTTGTTTCTCATTAATTGGTTCATAATGTGAGTTTACTTTTTCTGATAACTTTAAATCGTGAAAATAATAATGAACAAATAATTTTTGTCATTGCGAAGAAATAATGCAAATTAGTTCATTTCTATTATTTTCTTATTTCATCAGAAATACAATACTTAATAAAGGCCTTTGCATTCGTTAAATGTTGCAAAATCCTTGTATTACGTACGCCTTATAACATTTGTTTCTTTTATCATTAGTTGAATAATTAGTTTCCAAAACCTTTTTCATCCATTGAAATTGAAGATCGCTAATAACACTTCGGAAAATTTACGTTGAAACATTGGAATCTGTTTATGGTTCACCAATGTTTGAAAAAATTAGTTGTTTATGTCCGTCATCGTATGGAGTTTGGATTGCAACAGCGCATTCGCAAGTATTACAACTTTGGAAGGACAATGAATGCATTCTAATTTTAGATTTAGGAAAAGAGCAATATAACAAGTTTGTTTTGGTAATTTATTTTAAATTAACTTTGAATCAAAATTGATGATAAAATTTATCAGCTATCATTATTCTTTCAATAGCAATTTCAATTGAAATGTTTTGCATATTGTAAAATTTTAAAATTTAAGAAAAAAAATTAGCTTTATAAATTGATAATGCTTTGATAAATATTAATTTATCACATTAATTATTTTATAAAAGAAAAAGAAAACAAAAAATTAATGAAATAATTTGAAATGGTTAGTTAATTTAGAAAATATCACTTCATAAATTTTTATTACTTTATAATAATAAGACAATTTATAATTAAACAGAATTAATATCAAAGAAAAATAGAAAATAAAGTTATTAAAATTATTTAAGTAAGTAAATGGTACCTTTCATAAGCTATTAATTTATATAAGAAAATTAAATTTTATGCCATACTATTCTATGAAATTTTAATTTTACACAGGTTCAAGTAAATCTTACTTTAATTGAAATTTAAAATAGAAGAATAATAATTGAAGAAGACAAAAGTTAAAATTTCTTACTTTTCCTGAATTTCTTTTACAGTGCACCTCAACGGCCTACCGAAATAACATCGGTAATGTGTGTTCGAGAACAAGTATGGATTGGTACGGTAGATGGATATCTGTTAATATATCATATCATTTCACATCAGTATCAGCAAGCAGCAACCAATAATACAATACATTCTAATAGCTTATCTAAGTTTGCTAGCAATATTTATTCTCGATCATTTTAACACTTCAAATGTATTATTAAAATTTTTAAATATTTGTTTAATTAATTATGGCTAATTTGTGAAACAATTAAATTTATGAAATAATTTAATTGTTTCAATTGTTTAAAAGAATTATCAAATTCCTAATTTTAAATTGAAAATTTATGAAAATTTTAAATATTTAGCAACAATTATATATCACATCAAATTGAGAAAGCAACATATTCTGCAATGTTTCTTCCGAGCAAAAATGAGATACGGTATAATGAATCAGTCAGCGATAATGCATATCATTTCACCTCAAATATTCCACAGAAATCATCTGTTAGAATTGATCGAAACTCTCGAAGATATAGCAGTAAATTTTAACTTTATCAATCAATAATACTAAATAATCTAATATTTAAGAAATATGCAAAAAATGGAAATGAGAATTTAATTTTACGATATATTATTATTGATAATAATTTATTTTCGTAAAATGATCATTGCTAAAACTTTTGTTTTAAAATGATAATTTGTAAAATGATGATTGCTAAAAAAATTAAATTTAGAAAGAAAATAAGATTAGTTTAATTTCTTTTTACAAAAGGTAAAAATTGCAGTTTTTCGAAAAAGATCTGAAGAATTAACATTGGCAACATCGATGCTGTCAGCAAAGAAAGAATTGAATTCGTATACAATCTTTTTATTTACATTTATATTAAAATTAACCTATTGGAAATTTTCTAGCAATTATTCGTTGCTAAATTTAATTAATTAATATAATAAAGGGAAATTAATATTTGAATTTGTTATTGAAATGAAATGAATTTTGTGAATTATGTTATTGAAAAAGAATTTATTATTGATTGAAATGATTGAATTTTATTTAAAACAAAACATTTTCATGAATAAATTAAAATTTTGAGCTTTTTATCAAATTTAGGCCAATGATAACAATTGATTCGCCCATAAATTCTTCGTCAGATTCAATTTACAATAAGCCTTTAACAAAAGGTATTTTATTAGCTTTCAAATTTTCGAACGAGTTTTTCTGTTTGCTTTTCTTATAAAACAAAAAGTAATTTATTAGCTTTGAAATTTTCGAACGTTTGTTTTTCCTAAAAGAAGCTTACAGGCTTACATGCTTACAAGCTTGCAATTTTTCACAGAATTTACATCAAAATTCTATTCTTTAATAATCATTTTATCATTAAAAACCTAATTCTCTTCTAACTTTCATCTCTTTTCATTTTATTGATATTTTTAAAAAAAATTTGAAATTGAAAATTTTAATTTTATAATTAATTGATATTTGTATCCTAAAATCAATTAATACATATTTGATTTCTTACCTTTCTATTTTTTAATGAATAATTATCATTCTACTTCCATTATTATCTACTAATGATTACTTTTTTTTTGTTTTCTACAATTATAATTTTCATTTAAAAAATTACCAAAATCAATTTAAATATGTATTTTAGTACCCGTACGAAAACGTTCAGCATTCCATCAATTAACCATAACAAAAAATGACCATAAAATTGATGCGAAATATTGGCAAACAACGGATGATAACGATAATAGCAAAAATTTAGATATTGGATTAGCATCACCGTCGATTTCACATCATTCTCTTGAATTTGATAATTTATTTCAACATTATTCAGAAGAAGGTAATTAAGATTTTTCTGATTATTATTTTTGTTCCAATTAATTTCACATCATTTTTGCACACATATGAAAATTAATTATTTCATTTCAATCATAATATAATTGTATTGTGAATATCCATCATTCTAATTGACTTTTAATTTTAATTTACAATTTATCTTTTCGACACATTTGGAATACCAAATGCGGATGAATTTTAATTTCATCAATTTACAAATTTCATTAACCTAATTGCAAAAATTAAATAATCAAATAATTCTAAATGACTAATATGTAATGTTCATTGATATATATTATTTAATCTGTTAGAATTCATCGTTGAAATAATTTGTAATTCTTGGAAGCATAAATTTGTCAACAACAACATTAATGTTCTGTTAAAATTCACTCTTTAGCTTTTTTTCATTGTTTTTAATTTTGAGATTAGTTTTTGTTTTCAAGAAATTGCAAACTATTTGATGATAAATTTAAGGGATGAAGAATTTCAAAGATAGCATTAAAATAAGTTATACTTTTAATTTAAATAATTAATTTTTCTCCTTACTTAAGAATCATTAATACTTATATATCATCAATTTTATAGAGAGATGTATCATTTGCCCGAAACAATTAATAATAATTAAGAGAAACGAATTACTTTATTTTAAAAGCAATGTTAATTATATCGTAATTATATGTCATAATGTTGATTTTAATTTCAGTTATAATTTCAAAGATGCAACTAATTAAAAAAATGTTAATAATGAAAATTAATTGGAATGTTGTCTATTGAAATTTTATTTCAGATCACAAAAGTAGAAAAATGAAGAAGCAATCAAATTTGCATAACTCCGTGGTGAAAATATCAGCACCGATGGATACTAAAGAAAACTTTTTCAACATTCATATGTCTAAGCTTAGAAGGAAAGATTTAGAATTCGACGAATTCATTCAACAAAAAGAATCCAATTCATCTGAAAGTATTTTTTTAATTTTTAATTCCTAATTTACATCACAAATCTTATATTTATTTATTTGTACTCACAATAAAATAAATATTTTGGCTTATATAAGCAATGAATTTCAGCTTCTAATTGCTAATTTAGTAAGATATATAATTTCTTATTTAACTTTTATTCATTTACTTCTTAACCTTTATTCATCATTATTCATAATATTTTGATTTTCTATACATCAATATATCATCTAAATTTTATTTTATCTTTTCATATGTAATTAAAAATTTTGATAAAGCTAAGACTATACTGATAAAGCTGAGACTAAATTGAGAAAATATTAACTCTAATCATTTTACAGATAACGATAAGCGGAGAAAAGTACACGAGAATAATGAAAGTTGGAGGTATAATAAGTAAATTAGGAGATATTTTGAAATTGACAAAATACCATTTATTTCTGAATGAAATTGTTAAATTTGGATAAGAATTTTTAAAAATTTAATAAATTATGTCAAAACACTACGGCTATTATTATTTAGTTTTAGGTCAAAAATTACTTTGGTACTTGAAATGAAGCTAAAAATATCAGATAAACAAGTTAGATGCTGCGCCCATACCAGGTAGGTACTTTCTTTTCATTTCCAATTTTCAATCTTATTTCTTAAGTATTACTGTACCTTAAGTATTGCTGTACCTTAGGCATTACTATATCTTAAGTATTACTGTATCTTATTTGATATCTTCACCTTATTTTAGATTTTATTTATGTTGCCATAAAAATAGAATTTTCATTGGTTGACAGCTATTTCTATTTATTATGATTACAGAATGTGAAGTTGTTGCAGTTTAGATTTAGATTATTGTTCAGAAAGTTGGGGACATTAAGTTACTTTGTAATAAGATAAAATGAAGGAACAAAGACAAATTGACGAAAAGTAAAGAAAATAATATCATTATAATTAGGTTCTTATATAATTAAGGGATAGGATAAGGGTTATAGGATAGGATGTATCCTTCTAAACCTTTTAATTAAACCTAATAATTAGTCCATATCAATGCTAATTTCCAACCAATGATAACTATCAAATATATGATAATGAGGAAAGAATCATTCGTATAGCATATTTCATTTCATTCAAATATTTGATAATTATATTAGAATATTTTTCGCATAGAATTGGGGAGGAAACGATGGTTGTAACGTGTGCGGGTGATTACGGTGATACGGAATCAATACTAAAATGGACCATTGACCGAAAGGTTTTCTAATATTTTTATTTTGCAATTCTAAAGTTAATAAAATTTAATTATTGTTAAATGAAAAGAAATGTGTATTTGCTGCATTTTGAGGCATGTATTAATGCTAATTAACAACGCTAAGGTGTACTATCTCTAATTAACAATGATCAGGTGTATTGTACTTTGCAATTCGTTTAACCTATTTAGGAGTATAAAACAAAAAAAATATACTTATGATGCTTATGATAAGTTTTTAATTGATAAATTTTTGTTTTAAAAATAACAAAAATATGTACTTCTGATAATTTACAGTGCTCAAATGTACACTTGATGGCTTCTAAAATAGCACAAATGTGCTAATATCCAACTAATTAACAATTAACAACATACAACTATATAATTGATAACTTTTTAAACTACTTAAACGAATAAATCTGAACTTTACAAACTTCATAAAAGTTTGCTGCAAGTTAAGACTACGTAAAAATGCATACTTTGATTTTCTCTTTAGCGCAAATTCATATTTTGTTGCTCTTTAAATTAGCGCAAATGTATGTTTGGGATTAGTTACAATACGGTAAAACAAGCAAACATTTTAGGCAGCTTATTTGTTACTGTAAATTAATAGTGCGCAAATGTCACATTTTCATGACTGTTAAATTATATAAGCATATAACTTTTGTTTTTGCAGATTATCTGCAAAAATTTATATTATTCTCTACAGTGGACTATTTTTACCATTGATGTTAATACGAAGTATTTGTTTTACTCTTGTAATATTCTGTATTTTTGCATAAATAAAAAAGATAAAATGTTAATGCAATATAACTTTTAATGTTGTAATTTTAATTTTTAGTATTTAAATTAATATTTTTAATTAGTATAATACGAATATGTAAATTTACAGGTAGAGGATGGACGAGAATTATGGGTGAATGATCCGGTTATTGATGCACCTAATTAAGATAATTTTATCTTTGTTCTATTCAATTTATCAACTGATTCTGTTCCTTTGATATGAAATTATTCAAATTTCATTCTTACTTTGCTATGAATAATACTTTGTGCCTATTAAATAGTTCTGCAATTATAACCGCTACAAAATACACAAAATTTGTACAACATGTGAGGAATGACTGTGCTACTAAATGTTTTCAAACATTTTCGATGCATCTGAAATATAGGATTTCACAGAGTTGCCGCGTTAAAATTATGCGAGCAGTATATTACGCAATGTGTTTCACCTACTGGTAGCTTCAATTTGGTTGTTGAATCAGAGGTTGTCGAACTTTCAAAGAGATTGCAGGCTTTTCTTATTTTTGTTATGGACTCAGTATTTCGTTTAAATCAATTTCTTAAGGGTATTATCTTGAATGAACTATTCCATACTTCTCTTTGTAGGGTTGAATGTTAGGAACAGATGGTAATTAATTATTTATCACTTTAAATGTATTATGCTTCATCATTTGCCATTTTAAATTTAGCATCCATCACTACTTTGAATTTTCTGTTTTTACTTGGAACTTATAATTTGTTTTATTTGCTCTATTCATCGTTCTCAGTTTATCCAAACTGTCCATTATTTTTTTTGTTTCTAGAAAACAAGTCAATAATGGATGGCAGTTCAACTCCAACACCAAGTGGTGGTGGTGGATCGGCAAAAACTAGCAGTATGATATATATATGTGGAGGTTGGTAGAAGCTACTTTAATATGAAGATCAAATAATTCTATTTTTGTCGTTTTTGAAGCAAGTTGAAAACGACCACTTCAATTTCTTACTTTCCAGAATTTTTCGAATTTTTTTTTTAGAATGCCACAGCGAAAATGAAATCCGTCCAAAAGATGCGATTAGGTGTCGAGAATGTGGCTATAGAATATTGTATAAAAAACGCTGCCGGAAATGTAAGTTGTAACAGCTCGTTCTCTATAATTTTGGCTAAAAGTGTCTTGGTCTATCTTCTTGCTCCTTTTCTGGTTATATTTATTGTGAGGATTTTTGCTCGATCTCTTGTGGCTCGATATTTTGACCATGGTTCCCTCGAAAGCGATGGAGATATTTTCCGTTGTTTCGCTGAACATATAACACTGAATGTATACTTCCTTATATGACAGGCCATAGTTTATTTAGCTCTTTGCCCCCTTGACCTTCCGACTTCAATGAACTCCATTCTTTTTCCCGCATCACTGACGGGACATTTCAGTTTTCTTGAGTTGGCGGAGTGAAATTGGAAATGTGTGATGAGAGAAGAAATTGGTACCTTTCGAAAGTTCTCATATTTTTAAAGATGTGTGTTAATAGGTCTCTGAGTGCTTTAAAAAATGGTTTGAAGGTATGAAAAGTGCTCTATTTCAGTGATGGTTTATGATGCACGTTGAAAATGGTAAAAGCTCCAAAAATAATTTCAAACATGATTTGTTTTGTTCATTGTATGTACTTTATGTTGTATGATATATTACGAATGGAACTTAAAAGTTTCTATGTGATAAATTTATGCAGTATGAAAACGAATTGAATAATAAGAGTATGACATTATCTTCATGTAGGTGTGAGGGTATTTACATGCTATTGCGCTTGGTTTGATCTTAAATTTCTTATCTGCAGTGGAATATTCTTGAAAGAAAAGGCTAGTTCTGATTTCTGCCGGATATTATATTAGTGAAGAGAATTGCATCGTTATCAATAATTGGCAATGATTTGATATTCGTGATGAATTGAGAAAAAGTGTTCTAAAATTATAATCTATCCACGTTAATTTAAAAAAAAAAAGAACTGCTTGAATGGGATAACGAAGATACACTGTGCTTTATATATTATAAAGTGATTTTGGATTTATTAACAGTTTTACTTTTATTCCGAGTCTGGTTTGTTATTTTCAAAAAAGTGAAATTTTGATGATGGTGTCATTATTTTATGTCGCTATGATTTCATATATACATATAATCCATCTAAATAATCAACGAGGAATTTCATGATTTTCCATATATTGAATAATAATTTTAGTATATATTAATGAAACCTCATATTCTAAAAATGAACATTTTCTGATTTTTGTTACAAATTTTAGGCGCTTATTATCTGTTTGTGTATTTTTCTGACTTTCAATTATGCGTTATAAATTTCAGTATATAGAAAATCATGAAATCATGAAATTTACAAAATTTTAAATTTAGTAAAGACCGACAACATCTCAATATTCAGTACTGATCATGTTAGCACAGTGAGTTGTACAGATGATTGGTTTAAACGCGTCTTTATTTTCTCCGGATACACCGAAATTTGATTTTAGACGTTGATACTCTAACAATACTGCTAATTTTCAAATCAGCTAGTGATTGACAAGCAAAATGATTTTATTAATTCTTCTGCTTTTTTTACCTTCTACAAAACTTTCGTGAAAATCTTTTTTTTAGAGAATTCTACAACACTTTTAATTTTTGAAATTATTTAAATGCTGCCAGCACAGCGCGGATAATATTTTTGCTAATGGTTACATATGAAATGGTCGGTTAGTATTTTCTTTTGTTTTTAAGCAAATGCGGAAACGATTCACTTGCTTAGTAAATATAATGGTTTTATTTTCTGTTAATAAATGGTTAGTCATTAATTGAAAGTTTTTGATGGACAACTAAACAACTCCCAATCAATTAATCTATTATAAAATTCATGAACAAACTGACCAATTAGTTTGATAATAAATTAATTATTTGATTTGATAAATTGATTACGAATTATAAATTAGAAAAACAAATAGAGAGAGAATTTCGATTTACTTTTGGTAATATTTTTTACTAATAATTATTATTGATCAATTTTACAATATAATACTGATCAAAAACAAGTAATCGAAGAGTTCAAGTATAATCCACGTCACTTTTTACTTTCGTATTTTTGAGTAATCGAAATTTTATATTTTTTCTTTTGTTTAGATATTTATTTAATTAATGATGAAAATTTCTCACACAGGTTTTATCATCAGTTGATCAGTTCAGTTGATATATCTATTAATAATATTCAATTCAACATTCAAATGATGATTATTACATTATCAGCAATAATTATCACTTCATTTCTATTGTTACCTTTATGCGTATGCAAAAAGAAAGCAAAGAAATTTACAAACAATGCAAGAAATTTTTCCTTTGTTGAAAAAAATTAATAAATTTTGAATTTTCAACAAAAATTTTAAAAATATTATTAATCACTGTGTAGATATGTATACAATCAACTATTAATCATCTTATGAATCATTTATAAAATAATTTTCTATTTTAATTACAAACAATTTTCAAGATATATATGTAATTTTTATGGAAATAGAAATTACAGGTGGCAGTAAAGGTAGAAGAACCATTATGCTTGCAATCACAAAATACCATTATTAAAAATAAAGAAATGAAACAAATGAAATTTGCGAATGAAAAACAAATTACAAAACCAAAAATGGTTATTGCCGATGAATTACGACAAAAATCATCAAAAAATAAGGCGATAGTTATCGATGAAACTAAAAAGCAACAATCTGTAAATATTTTTTCTCTCATCTCTCATTTAAATAAATTAATAAAACTTCCAATGAAATGAAATGCTTTAAGGGTATTTGTAAAAGGGAAGAGGAATGCGTTAATCGTAAATGATTGTGATAATGTCAATTGATGTAAGAGAGAATTATGTAAGAATGATAATTAACCTTTTATCAATGATTTATACCTTATCGATAATTAATTTGTTATCAAAATTTATTGATTGAAAAAAAATGAAAAAAACTTTTTGAATTCATTAAATTTATCAAAAAAGGAAAATCTAAAATCTAGCATTTAACGATAGAAGTTGATGAATTTATTTTGATTTTTCGTAGACATATTTATTATATATTATATATATATCTAGCACTTGTATATATATATATATATATATACTTTTCTTTTTTACTTATCAGGGGATAGATAATTTAGAAATAAAAAATTATCATTATCACCTAACGCAGCAATATAATTTTCCACGTATTTCATTTCGTATATTATTATTACTATTTAACTATTTATCAAAAAAAGAAAATAATTATTTCCTAACTCGTAATTTTCAATTTGATATATTATGCAAATATTTTATGGAATATAAATAATTGCATATTAAATTTGAATTAAAATAAATAATTTCAATTTTTATAATACCAAGTATTTCTGTTGCATATAAAAATTTATCAATAACTTTTATTGATAACTTAACTTAATACCTTAATAACTTAATATTATCTTAATTACCTATTATTAAGTTATTGATTAATACCTTAACTTTTATCACAAAAATGATCGATTACTTTTTTGATTAATTTTATCATTTATTTCAAGCTGTTATTATTCAAAGCTAATTTTGAAAGCATTCCTTACTCATTCATTAACATAAGAAAGGTCGTTATTTTTCAGAATTTGAAAGCTGCAAAATCTAATAGATCTGTTGTATACGGTATTGAAGAAACACAACGTTCACAACCAGTAATTATTTTCTCATTCAATCATAAAATTTTCATTTCAATTCATGGGCATAGTTAATTCAACATATAATTCAACTTTATAAAATATTGAATTCAACATATAATTTGAATTAAATTTTAACTATGCCATTAATTACAAATATAATTAAAAAGCTAATCATTGCTAATCATACAATATTACGTCAAACTCAACAAATTATTTTTATCCTACTGAAACATTTTATGGGATGATAATTAATTAGGAAGTTATTCAGGAATCAACGCAAAATATTGAGGAAGTTTTAGAAAATGAAAAGGAAATTTTCGAACTAAACGAAAGCCAAAATACTTCATCACATGGTACACTTCAGGTGCATAATTAAATTCATTATACTTTTCGAATATATTTTAAAATAAATTGAAATTAAAATCACACGTTAGCAAACATATTAATTTATTTAAAAGGTTAAATTACATACTGTAAAAAACTACAATATCACAAATATTTGATATTTACAAATGGAATAAACCATTATGTTTATCCATGTATTACAACATGTTATCATGCAGATGTTTTGGGATGAATATAATCACCGACATTGTAACATCATTTCTTATTATTGTAATTTGTACCCTTACTTTTTTAACTATGCCTATACCAGTCGTCGAGTCCTTCGAACGACTCTGCAGATGTACTAAGACTCATCTTAGAGCACTAAGATCCATTTTAGGGCTTTTGATTCTTTCTCTGACTTATAAGCAGCTTCAAATGCATTTTGCAGTACGTGCAACCACGAGTGCGATTTTTTGAAAGAGCAGGAGAAGTCAAACAGTGCGAGCCAATCGATAAACAACGAAATGAATATAGAACTTTCGCACTTATTGATGAGGATAAAAATTGTATGATGCAGAACATTTACCCCAGAGAGGTAAGTTTTAAGACAGAAATGAAAGATAAACAAAGAAGTAAATTTAATCTTAGTATATGACTAATGTGTTAATGCGTGTTTGGTGTTCATATATACTTAATTTTGCATTTACGCATGCCACAAAATTGAGAACCTATCTTTATTCTTTAAGTGTTCCATTACTTCATCCTGCTAAAACTCGAGGTTTATTATTATATCTACTTTTCACATTAAGTTTTGAAGTTAGAAACAATTCATTTTAAAGGTTCGACAGCAAGATATAACCGAATGCAAAATTGAAAAATACAATGTGGTTGGTTACCAAATACCGGAGATTTTTGAAGAATATACATGCAGGGACGACTTTTGAATTATTATTTTTCACTGTTGTTTGCGAAGATTATTAATTTCTATGTGTTTTGGACAATAATGTTTCTTTTCTATTATATTCAATTAAAAGCAGAATCTCTACGCTTTGAGATGCTCAAGGAAACAGAATATTCGAAGTGTAATACATCATCACAATCAATAATACACCATTTCTGTGACAAAAAACAATTCAAATTAGATTGTGAAAGTCAAACTACAATAGGTTCATGTCAGCATTTCTCATCACTTATTTCCAACATTTCACGCATTAGAGTTAATGGATTCAATTGCACACACAAGATGTCATCACTACCAACTATGTCTCGAAAATCGTAATCAGACAAATCACCGCTCTGTATGTCTCGAAACATCCCTGCCAATAATCGACGCCTTTTCTCATACTTTGGATCATCAACTTCTTTTTGGATTTCTTCCAAGATATTCAAAATTATGGCGGAGTCTGCAATGAAACTGTGATCTGCATGTACATTTCGGATTATCTTAAAAACTGGGAAAAAAACCAAATAGGACAGCTTGGTTTTGATAGGAAAAACATTGCTTAATGTTGCAGATATTAAGTCAAAAAGATAAAAGACAATATGATACCCAGGTTGACTGACTCAAGCAGCGCAATCTTCGAAGGTAGACAAGACAGAACATCCATCATCAATGAAATTTCAAGATTTTATAAGTGCTCGATGCTTTAAATCGCTTAAAACGCACCGTATCCAATGCACAATTGTATCAGACTTATTTTGGTTATTTAGATATCTGCCCATTTCCTACCTACCATTTATATCACACCATTTATGTGCATCAATTGATCTATAATAGTGATGAATTTATCGCAGCGATCTTTTGAAGTGATTCATTATAAACAGAATTAAGAGAAATAACTCACCAAACGGTTTGCAATTGCTACCCGATGCTGCCATTCCTGAAAGACATGTCTGCAGGAAACGGTAATAATCGGCACAATCAACAACTTGTCTTCTATTAGCACCACGAGCATATGACGAATCGGTGACCCTGAAATATTTTCTAGTATCCACAGATGCTGGTCGACATTTCACTTCATGTGCCAAATAATCCTGAAACCAATATTCTTCTGTTGATGTTTCACGTACAACTGCATACTTAATTTATTTCATGAAAAATATTCAACTGAACTGCGCGTAAAGCTCATGAATTTTTAATATCAATTGTGTAAGAAATTTCGAGGAACAATAATCAGAATTAAAATCAATCATAGTTTGCATAAAGATTTTGTGGAAAACGATGTAATATTAATTTTTTTTAAATAATTTCGTAATTAATGATAGAAAAAGTAAGAACGGTTGTTGAAGAATTATGACTATTATTAGTAATAATATTGCAGTTACTACGTTGTTCTGCTTCACATTACTGAAACTATAATTTTTGCAAAAACAGTGCAATAAAAAGGGTTAAGAAAAAAGAACATAATAGAACATCAAACAAAGCAAATGAAAAAATGCACTAGCAATGCCGAATCAGTGTAATCATTAATTCGGCGTTTTCGATTCTGAATAACGTAGACAGCGCTTGACCAATCTTGGATCTGAAAAAATTTTTGTATCTAAAACAACTCAACATAATGTTTCTTCGAAATACAAATTTGTAAAAAAGCAATGAACACACAGGTGTTCTCATATTTTATGATCAATGAATCTTGTATTGTGGCATCCGCCTTGAATATCTTATCGACCCAGAGAAATGCAAAAGGTTAACGAAAAATTAATGATTACAGTAACAAAGAATTTCCACGAAAGCTGTTTTCACAAGATTCAAGCAAGCCAGTATACAGTTGCCAATTCATTGCCTAATGCAAAACAAATCAAAATAAAAAAAATTCCCTTGTTTCTAATCACGAAAAATAAAAATTTTCCCTTGCTTGAATCATGTGGAAACCAATCAGTATAACCATCGAATAAAATGATCGCACTATGGATCTCATCAATCTAACCTTGAATACAGGCCACATTCAACGCAAAAAAATCACCTCACTGGTTTTAGAAGGTAATATAACTCCCTTCAACCATTCCGTTTTTCGTGCTTCAACTCGCATCTCATGCCTTAGTCGAGTCAACTCACGAATTCCAGAAATTTTTTCACGTATATCAAGCATTGAACGATTTGAGATATTTTTTGTTGCATGGAACAAGCAATTATCATTTATACCATAGCTAAAAACTGAACGTGAAAAAGTCAATAGACAAGTAATTTTTATATTTTAATTTTCATAAATAAAACGTGAATTTAAACAAAATAAATATACACGATCACCAATTAGACACGTTATGCCCAAATCTTAACATTTAAACATCAGAACAGCAGAAAAGGAAGTATTTACTCCATCATATTATGATGCCTACTTCCTTGCACGTGGGTCAAAAAGTTTTATGATTTTCAATAATGTATGATAAAAGCATGAAATTAACGAAGAAACCATAAATATTAAACGAAAGTTGTTCTACTTTAAAAGTTATTCTAATCCGATGAATAATCTTCAACGCTAATAATGAAATAACAAGATTATTACAATTAACTTACGAATTTATACAGCTATGCAAGGTTTTGAGCTCATCAATTGTCCATTCTTTCCCTTCATCCTAAAAAAGTATCTACAGTAACCCGTTCAAAAGATAATAATCTTTTGAAAATAAACAAAACAAACAGCTTTATCAAAATGAAACGAAACATTGCTACCTCTTTCAAGGGTGGCAAAACGATATTATATACTGGTCTTCTATCTCGATCACCAAAATCGAATTTCCCACTTAGAACCTGAAATACACATTGAAAGCATATTTACCAAAAAACATTTACGCTATTTTTCTATAGAAGCAATATTAAAATTGTACGAATTTTTTCACCTGTTCATCTTCCTTTGCGTCAATTACTCTCCGAGATCGATCGCCGGAAGTCCGTTTCGAAAGATTTCCTCCTTGTCGGGTTTCAACTAGAACATAACTGCATAGAAATAGCAAGCAAAAATAGCAGAATTTATTTTTGATGTATGATATCACGTTTATTGCAAGATTCTGTGTATAATCTAAGTTTCATTTTGACACAAAATATTGTTTTGAAGAGGTTAATTGTTAAACTTCATTAGCTACAAATGATTTATTCTCAAAATTCTTGCTCTCAAGTATTATAAAACCTTTTTAAATTATAAAAAATCAAAATGAAAAAAAAGGTCAAAATACCTTCAACTGGTGATACTTCATTGCATTCATCACACTGAATGGTCGTGCTTGTAACAGAGGATAACTGCGGTTGAGAAGTAGATGCTTTTTGTTGCTGTTGTTGTTTGCTGACAGCTTCACTGCGCATATCGATCTCACTATCAGTCATTAGCCTCTCACTTTACGATCATCAACAGTGAACAAAGTTCTGCATAAAAATTTGCATAAATGAAAACGAAAATTGCAACATGAATAACAGCAAAATATATCAAGCATGATTAATAAGAGTCAAAGGTCAATCCAGATATGCCTTAAATTGAACTTACACTAAATCAACAGTTACGAGATATCTCAGTTAAATTGTCTTTGTAAAATTCCAATCGTCTTATCTCTGCAGGTTAAAGAACAAATTATGAACTATGAAAATCAGATCGTCTATCTTTTCCTCTATCCAATCATGGATATGAGTGTCATTCGGATCTTTACCACTAAGTTAATCCTACTTGAATTGTCATTCACAAAAGCACCAAGTTAGACATCAACGGCACCACTACACAATACCAATCCGTAAGGCACTAAATGGCGCTATCCATTAACCATTAGGATCCATCAGCATGGAATAGAAGCGGTACCAGCATACACATTGTCACATAAGGTAATTCACGGTTAAGGAACCAAGACTCTTTCCTTTTGCTACAGTTTTTATTTGTATGTATATTTTTGTTTTTGGATGTTGAAGTACTGATACAGTTGAAGCGGTACCTCCTCGGTATCATTGGTTCCATTTCACCTGTCTTACACTCATCATTTTGCGCACTTTTTGCTTATCTACCTCTACAACTTGCAAACCTGCAAGTATAATTCATTCTCTTTTCATAATCACTTATAATCCCTTAACATAAATTTAAAAATTTCTTAGCTTAATTTTTGCCCATCTTTGTTGCATGTTATGAAGTTTTTCTTCCTACCCTTTACTGTTTTGAAATTTAATTATGCTGCAGAATTGATTTGCTTCTAGCGTGTTTCATTTTAAATTATCACTGTTTGTTGATGACAAATAAACTGAGCAAGTGAGTGTTATTTTGTAGTTATGAAATAAAAATTAGAAGACTTATAATGAAACTTGCTGGTTTAAAATCGTCGAAAAAGATTCAGTTTTTTTCTTTCGTTTAATTTTATTTATTATATTACAGGTTTTAAGAAATATGGATCTTACAAATGGTGCAACGAATAAAAAATTGGAAAGATTTCGCGCGTTATTCACACAAGACAATATTGTTAAGAATGCCGGTGGTGCTATCGATGCTTATCTGTTACCGCATACGGATCCTCATCAAGTATGTAATTTTAGTATAAGTTTTACTGCTCGAAATGAAAATGCAGTAGCTAGATGATAAGGAGTTTTGTCGAGATCATGCGATAATTATTAATTAATATTCTTCAATTGAAGGTGAAGGGGAGGATGACGAGAGTTTTGTTGTGGAAAGAGAATTTGTTAGGCAGAAATAAGTTTCATCGAAGTAAATCTTTCTTCGTTTGCTTACCATGGCATTATTCCAAATACTATTGATATAATCATTATCAGTAATTTCAATAGAAGGAAGAGAAACTTTGTTTCCTTTACCAGCCATTTCAAGTGCTATTGAGCCAAAATTTAACCATTGCTTAGGACGATTAAAAGTATTTGACTTTAGCTGTCTATATGTTCCAACGTCGAGATACTTGTATGAAAAATGGGTCTAGAATTGTCTTGTTATTCTCCTTCTGAAACTTTGAAAGACTTTGGTAATGAGTAGGATATGATTTTATGCGTTCTGCTTCATTTATAATTTATTAGTTTCTTTAAATGCTGACTATTCTCTTTCAATTCATCTTAAATCTTAGATGTAGTGCACTACATATTATGCACAATACGCACCCTATAGAAACAAAAATCGTTGTCTGCTTCCAATCATTCTAAAATTTTTTTTCTCCGACTTAAGTGATACATTGCTATTAAGCATAGTGATATGATATAGTTTAAGCAAGGAAGTGGGCAACTTTTTTGAAGATTCTTTAAATTAGTCTAGACCTTTATGAATCCATTCGTCTTGACATCAAATAACTTTAGATAAAAAAAGAGTCTTTGCCTTAGGTTGTTTCACTCATTCTAGGTAACCTTGTTGTTTATCTCCTTTCAATGAAAAACATATTTAATATATATTCTAAAAACCCTACTATTGCTGTATTTTCTAGAATGAACATATTTCGAAACGCGATTTCCGTGTTCATTTTCTCAGTGGGTTTTCTGGATCAAACGCATTTGCATTAATAACACAAAAAGAAGCAATGGTTTGGACTGATGGTAGATATTTTATACAGGTATAACAGCGCAGTTTCTATCGAGATCATGCTTCGTTGTTGGAAATTATATTTAGTTGGGTTTATTACTTTTTGGATTATTCCTAATTGTTGAGCTTTAAATTCATTTAGAATTTAGGCTCAAATTGAACTGGAACCAGGATGGAAATTGATGAAAGACAGTATTCTGGGTGCAATTTCGACAACTGATTGGATGATTCAGAATTTAAGCAAAGGAAGTTTGGTGGCTTTCGATCCACAACTACACACGCATGGTATGTTTGATCACTATTACTTATATGATTTTTTATTTTTCGAGATTACAGTTAATTCGTTTTTTGCGTAGTGCTAATACCATGTACGCGTTTGTAATACAATGTAAAAATTTCTGAATTGAAAATTACTTTGCACATTTTTTATCGCATGCAAAAAATTCACAGTTATATGATTTTAATATTCTTATCATTTGATCATTTAGCTGAGGCATTACGAATAATGGCTGTGCTAAAAAAAGTTGATATCAATGTTGTACCTTTGAAAGGTAACTTGGTCGATTATTTATGGCATGATAGACCGGAAGAAAGTTTCGGTAAGGTAAGTTTCACATATTTGTTTAGACAGAAGCTCAAATTATGTCTTGTGAAACTCCAGATATTTTCTATTTTTCATCAAGTTTAATTTAAAGTTTATAATGGCAGAACAGTGTGACTTGAATATATGTCTGGGACAGCATTAAGAAGTAAACGGCATTCAAGTAAACGTGGGGTAACATCTAAGTATTCATTCCGATACATTTTCACCACACTTTCAATTTCAGATTATAGTGATGAAAAAAGATGAACATGGAATGGAGACGAGTAGGAAAATTGAGAAAATACGGTACGAATTACAGTTAAAGGGTTGCAATACAGCAATTTTTACCGCCCTGGACGATATTGCTTGTAAGTATAACGATGTAGTTGTATCTGAGTCAGTTTATACTATGTGAGTTAATAGACGATCTCTGACTTCAATTTTTTGCTGAGATTAAATATTTAAATTTAATCCTATAGTAATTTATCAGTTTTCAGGGTTACTAAACATTCGTGGTTCGGATATCCCATATAATCCGGTTGTTTATGCGATTATTTTCATGACTTTGGATGAGGTGCATTTATTTATCAGCAAACGAAAATTAAACAGTGAAATACTGAATCATCTTGCAAACATAATAATTCATGAATACAACGAAGCAACGGAATGGATTAGAAAATGGCTTCAAAGCCATAAAAGCGCCAATACAAATAAATGTTATTCAGTTAGTTTTTTTTTATTCACCAATAATATCTGAATAACTGTGAAGAACAAACGGATAATTGAAAGTCGGAATGAAGCAGTGGCTTTGATGGAGAGAACTGGATCTTTTTGAAATATTTTAAATATCTTCAAAAAATTGATTGTAATGAAGTACTAAATTTTCATTCGGAAAATTGAATCCAATTTATTGGAGAAGATGAAGAAGTTGGAGACTTAAGGGGTTTCTTAAGAGTTTGTATTATAATGCTTCATTGTCTTTAAGCTTTATTATTAACTCCTTCCGTTTTGATTTAACAATGTCTGTTGCAGGTTTGCATTCCAGACTCAACAAATTATGAATTGGGAGCTTTGGTCGAACCAGATTATGGCGTATCATTAGTTTCACCCATTCAGCTTATAAAAGCTATAAAGAATGAATCAGAATTAAATGGAATGAGGAGATCAAGTGTAGGTTCCATTTTATGTTTTCATAAGGATAACTGAATTGTTGAGACATTTGGTGATTTCTCTGGTAGTGCCCTTTGAGCATAATTGAGCATTCATTTTCTTCTAATATGTGTTTTATTCATTTTTTTGTTAATATATTGTCAAATTTTTTAAAAACCTTAACAATAATTTTCCAAGAAGCACTGAATTTGGAATTTATACTTCAAAAAATTTTTTTTTTGCAATACGTTGTTTGTTGAATCTGAGATAAATTTTTTATGAAACAAGACAGTCATGTTTATTTTTTTAATATTGTTTTCAGATCCGTGATAGTGCCGCGATAATTGAATATCTTGTTTGGTTGGAAGAGCAGATCGCTGCTGGGAAAGAAATTACTGAAGTACATTTACGTAATTTCAACTTAGTAGAGACCACTTGTTAGCGTTTATATTTTTGTTTATCATCGCTCATGATACGAATTCGTATTTTACAGGCAGCTGCTGGTAAGAAAATGGATGAATTTCGTAGCAAACAACCTCTTTTTTTTGATTTAAGTTTCCAAACGATAGCAGCAGTTAATGAGCATGCAGCATTGCCACATTATCATAGTACTGCAGCAACGGGTAAAGAACTGCTAACCAAAAAATGTATATTCTTAATCGATTCTGGCGGACATTACCGGTAATTTTAATAATTTTAGTTATAAATGTCACAGTATTATTTCGAAGTTGAAAAATAAACCAAATTCTGAAAATTACAGCGATGGGACAACCGATGTAACACGAACAATTGCTTTTCCAGATAATAGAGACATGGAATTTAGAAGAATGTTCACTTTGGTACTCAAAGGACATATTGCTAATGCTAAGCTTATTTTTCCTGATGGCATAAACGGTAAAATTCATTTATTTCAATTTTGTTATTTGAACTAGCTATATTTGGATTCTGTACTCATTTTTTGTATATTTAAGCCTACTGAAATTAGCATCAATTATATAGTAGTCAGTTTAGCCACCTGAATAATGCGTGCATATTGGAGCAACGATTTTTAGGAATACGTATGGATGCGTTGTCAAGACAATATCTCTGGAGTGATGGATTAGACTTTCAGCATGGTGTAGGGCACGGTGTCGGACATTTCCTTAATGTATATGAAAGACCAGGTAAATAAAGATTTGATGAGTGAAATTGGTTAAAGATTTGATGAGCGAAAGCGATTAAGAGTTTTAATCAGATATGGATCTTTCTTATTCTTTGGACATTATATAGTTTTTCATTTCTAATTCTTTTATTTTTTTGTTCGATAAATTTTTTTTTTTAGTTGGTATTATATTTCGGAGATATGAAAAAGATGGTGGAATTCGTAAAGGACAAGTAATAACAATTGAGCCTGGTTTCTATGCTGAAGGCAAATGGGGCATAAGAATTGAAAACTGTTATGAGGTCAGTTTGACAAATAATGATTGTAAAAGTTATGAGAGCTGGATGATTTTGGAAATTCACTGTATTTATTTCTCATAATCTTCGAAATTAATTTAAAAGATGCTTAGCAAGAGATATTTGATTTAGATTTTAAAATTTCTGTGGTTTTTATATATTTTATATCTTGGTAAAGGAAGAATCTATTCTTTTACATCCAAACGACCGATACGGCATTCTTTACGCAAATGCCGATCTGTAAAATCTTTGGGCAGCAATGATAAAAAAATGAAATAGACAAATTAAGCAAATTTCCTTTAATATTCTTTATTAATTTGGTTTGGAAAATTAGTTTCAGTCATCTACTCCTGCTTACGCCGGGTGCGTTTTTTCAGGTTATAGCTGCTGATAAAGTGCGTTCAAATGCAGAGAATTTTCTAGCATTTTCACCATTAACCTTAGTACCAATACAAAAGTCTTTGGTGGATAAAACTTTACTTTCATCGGAAGAGGTAAATTTTATCCTTTTCTTAATGTTTTTTAAACGCACTTTCAGAAGAATTTCTTGAAACCTCAGCCGTTAATATGATTTTTAGAGGAAATATGAATTAGTAAGTGTGGAAGAGTGTAATAATTAAGGATTGTTTTCAATTACAAATTCTCTGTGAGGCTTGTTGGGAAATACGTGATGTCCAAGGATGGTATCTCTCTTATTCTAGTAGACGATAATCGAAAAGGAAATCAAACAATTGATTGGCCTTGATTTCTTTTTTAGTTTCCGAATTAGTTAATATTAGTTAATGAGGTAGAAGTAAACATGTATTGGAATCAGTTTTTACTCTATTATTTCTGATGAACTCGAGACATTTTATTCTTTGTCAGATTGAATAAGTAGAATTTTAATTTGTTTTAGTGGCTGTTAGAAATGGATATATATCGAACTTTTTTTCTAGTCAGATTTCAGCGTCGTGTTAACCTTAACAAAAACATCTTTGACGCTTTTATTCTAAAAACATCTTTATTCTAATTAAACAGCTTTTATTATATTTTATTTATTGAATTTGTCTGTAACTTTGAAATAACAATTATCCATCATTGTACATTGGTTCCAGATTTCAAAAATCCGTATTGGTTGCTAACACCTCTCGGTACGAATTTTTGGAAATATATCGGGGAATATTTTTCGAAATTACTTGTAAAAGCTATTGAAAAAATGCCACATCTCTTTTAAATTTCGAAAAAACTATAGCAAGCATCTCGTGAGAACATATGAATTGATTTGAATTTTTTTCCTTAAATTTCAGTAATTTGCAGATTGAATGGTTCAACCGTTATCATGCCATGTGTTTTGAAAAAGTTGGTCCTTATCTGTCGGAAACAGGCAAGAAAAAAGAGTACGAATGGCTCGTAAATGCTTGTGCTCCTATATGACTCATCCTTATTATCATTTATTATTCAGACTCTTGTTTAAGTTGAATTATATCAGAAATTTTGATTTATATTTACCATCAAATTTATATGTCGTTGGAATTATAAGCATTGTGATTCTTCCTGCTAAGATTTTCTTCCAAGGAAGCATGAACTAATACATGACAGGATTACATTTGAAATTTGCGATATTTGATATTTGACTATTTTTTCCACTTATTTCTTTTATAATACTCAACTATATTGAAACTTGTGATCGTTTCTGCTAATTTTTAAATCCATTGGTTTTTTATTATATTGAATAATAGGTTTGCATTGGTAATTTTTGTGCTCATTAAATGATTTTCTTTAAACCGATAATCTCTTTCTTGTTAAATTGTAATTGTTTTACCCCATTCCTGTTTTCTATTTCTGATGAAATTGTTAATTGTTATCTTGAATACAACGGAAATCATCATATTAATATATGAAATTAGTAGCATCTTATCGATCACAGTTTACCGTTCAAAAAATAAATTCAGTGAATGAGAAATTTGAATTGTTGGGAAGAATTTATTTTTTATCCAAATTATAGTGCATTAAAAGTAGTAGATTTTCCTAGAAATTCTCTGGCAACTACTTATCAACAAGTGGTATTTTAGGTGCTTTGGCTGAATGGATATGTACCGATAAATGATAGTACTATGAAACATAGGAATGAAAATTTCAACACCAGAAGTATTGCTTTTAATATTCGGTCAACTTCGAAGTTATTCTTCCTTACCACAAAATTTTAAAATATGAAATATAACAACAAAATGCTGCAAATCTTTATGCATTACTATTGTAACATTTTCCATTTTTTAGTTCATATATCGAATTCGTTTTTCAATTTCTCAATAAATAAAAAATTAATAAGATGTTGACAATAGACGGGAACGGAATTCTGAACGAAATGAAAGTCTCATAAATTTTTTTAAATTTTATTGGTTGTAATTCGAAGATTTTAAACTATTCTTACATAACTATCTAATTACGGAGTTCATGCATATCTAACTATATTCTCTTCATTTAATCACTAAATTTTTTGTTAAGAAGAATGCTATAGAAGCATTTTATATGGTTTGGACATTAGACAGGTTGTTATTATTAAAATGTTGAAAATACGTAAATTGACTGGAAATGATTCTATAATACAACAATTAGAAGAGAGCGAATAAAATTATCATCTAATTGGATAGATATGATAAAGTGTTAAATGAGAATATTTCCTTGCAAAGAGATATCTGTTTCATTAGCTCCTTTGCTAATATATTGCAGAATTTTTTTAATTTTGCATAAATTAATTTGATAATTTTACTTATCACATATCATATCAAATAAGCAAATATTAGTACAAAATGATTATATTTTGAATATCATTATAACTTAATTACTGCAAAAAGTTTTTAAATATATTTTATTAAAATATCAAATGATAAGTTACAATTATCATACCAGCAGCTATTTCATTTATTATTCAAAGCAAGAACTGGTTTATTAAAGTAATAAATTTTTTTTGTAGATTTTAAATAAAATATTTTATCTTCAAAAAAGCTATCATTAAATCTACTTTATAAACGGGACAAAAAAAAAAACGGAATTAATTGATATCATTAAAAATAGTAATCTAATCAATGTGAGAAAAATAATTAAATGGATGAGGCGCAAATAGTAATAATGTCTCGGGAATACTCCGTCAAATGATTGTAATTTATAGTACTCCAGTTTTCTTCCTCTTTTCTTCTACTGTCAACTGTTGCTTTCGATCATCAGATCCATTCCTTCTCAAATTACTAAATTAGAGTACTTTGAATGAAATATCTTGAAATTTTGTTGAGTTATCTTTTTTTTATTTATATCATTTCATTTAGCAAAATCTTTTTGATTTGTTTAAGTAACAATTTTTAGTGATAAGGAATATACGGTTGTATTAAAAAAAGAATTTTCAGGATATTTGATGTCAGTCAATCTTTCTGCATTTCCTCCCTTCACATCCGTTATCATTCCAGTTTTCCGTTTAATGATGATAATTTGAGGAATGATTTATTTTGAAAACAGTTTTACAGTTCTATTTTATTACTTTCCGTTAACTAACAATTACTATTCAATTCCTCATCTTTCATTTCTTTATTTAAAATTTTTCAACTTCTTTTTAATGCATATCTTTTGTTTTTTGTCTTTATTTTAAATCAATTTTAATTTTTTACACTTTAATTGGGAATAATTAATTTATGAATGCTTTTTTGTTTTTTTTTTTAGAAATTTAAAATAATTTTACATATTTTGAATTTTGTGTAAAAGGATGGTTTCTTTTATCATTTTCTTGGATTTCTTATTTATTACAAATTTTTCTGAATTTGTTTTTGCAAGCTTATTAAACTAGCATAATTAGCAAGTTTTAATTAAGTGTGACATGTAATTTTTGTTTAAATAACACTTGGAAAATTGATATCATAAAATTGAAAAATTTTAAGCTCTTCCAGAAATGAATTAAAATATTGACTAAAGTAAAACTTTTCCTTTAAATATTTTTATATGTTTTTAGAATTAATAAACAAAGAATGCCATTTTCTCTTTTTTTTTGTTTTAACTTAATTTAATTATCTTTTTTAAAATATCAATGGATATTTTTGAAAAAGAAAATTAAAAGAAATTATGCAAATTTTGCATGAAATTCATACAAAATATTTTTCATTTAATAATTAACAAAAAATTGGAAAATTTCGACGATTTTTTCAAATTAATAAATTAAAAGTTTTTTTCACTTTTTTGTCATATACTATAATTAATAACAATTGCTCATATACTATAATTAATAACAATTGTTCATATACTATAATTAATAACAATTGTTCATACACTATAATTAATAACAATTGTTCATACGCTATAATTAATATACGACGAATACTATAATTAATAAAAAATTAGAAAAATTTTAATAATGTTATTGTAATATATTTTAATAGTAAAAACCATACTAATTATTATTAGTAATTATAAATTAAAGATTTCATTTTAGAAACAACAAATTGTTATAATAATTTATTATAAACAAAATATTATAATTAGAAATTGTGAATGAAATAATAACAAAATAATTTGGAATAAATTTTTGGTTGTGAACTAAATTTTTGAATGAAAAAAAAGGACTGCGATAAAATCGTTGCATATATGATAATGAATAAACAATTATGCATAAATTTAGGGAATAATTTCTACCAAATTTTTTTCTTACTTATATCTTTTCAAATTGAATAATAAGGCCTTTTGTTAATTATTATTGCCAACCTTTACACTCCATTTCATTTCACTCATAAAAATTTCATATACCAAAATATCATTTTTTTCAGCACTTCTATTCTTTCTCTCTCTCTCTCCCTCTCTCTCTCTCTCTCTCTCTCTCTCTCTCTCTCATTTCCTCCGATCGTACTCGATCTTTTCATTTTTTTTTTAAATACATGAAATCTTCTTGATATCATCATATTCGAAATATTTCTATCAAAACTATTTTGTATTTAATGAGGCTGTCATAAATTCTCTTCCTGTAAAGAGTTTTGTATTTTTGAAAATTTTCACATCATCAAATTTTTCAATCATTTCCTAATTTAATCAATATAGTTCAATTATTTTAATTTAATATTTAATTATTTAGTATAATAGTTTAGTAATAATTGATTTTCATTTGCATAAAATATCTTTATGTCTACCGCTATTCATGTTTTTCATGGGATAGTTCATGGGATAGTTTGTGATATGTTGTAGATATCTACAACATAAAATATCTTTATGTAGATACGTGGTATCTTGTAGACGTGCATGAAGACGCACGTCTAACTATTACTTCTTTACGTTATTTTTTAAATTGATAACATCGTAATATTTAGATTGTAAATACGTTATGGTTCTTTTTTAAATATATAATTCAAGGTCAATCTTTGAAATGATAACGAAATTCATACTTTTCGTATTAATAAAACTTGCTTTCAATAAATTATTATAATCAGCAATAGCCAACTTTTCGAACTAATCCATCATCATTTAACCTCAATTTAAACTTATTCAATTCTGAAGTATCGATGTTGTGAATGAGTATTGAAATGCAAAATTAAGAATTCGGACAAACCTATAATTCATCAAAAGACTTTATTCAAGACAAGTATCCACCATGTAATAAATATTTTTTTTTATATATACCGAAATAAATTTTTGCAAAAATTTTTTCAAAATTTCAATTTTGCAAAATTTCTTTTTAATTTTACTTGTTCCATTTTTTTCAAAAATAAATATGTGTGATGTGTTATTTTTTTTTGTTTTAAATTTATCATTAACTATCATTGATTGCTAAACTTATCATTAAGTATCATTGATTGTTAAAGTTATCATTAAGTACCATTGATTGTTAAGCTTATCATTAAGTACCATTGATTGTTAAACTTATCATTAAGTATTATTGATTGTTAAAGTTATCATTATGTACCATTGATTGTTAAGCTTATCATTAAGTACCATTGATTGTTAAACTTATCATTAAGTATTATTGATTGTTAAAGTTATCATTAAGTACCATTGATTGTTAAACTTATCATTAAGTATTATTGATTGTTGAACTTATCATTAAGTATTATTGATTGTTAAAGTTATCATTAAGTACCATTGATTAACTGTACTATTTAGTTGAAAGCATATATTATGTTTTGTTACGATAATTTCAATGCTTATCAATATCAATATTTAACAAAAAATTTTACTTTAAAAAAATTTTCCAAAAATGTAATTTGAAATTTTCTGAATTTTTCTTCACTATTTCATAACAATTACAAATTATCGCATTAACTTTATGTGAAATTATTTGTCATAAAATTTAGTGGTAATTAACACATAAATTAAAGATAATTTTGTTTTCAGTTAACTTAACAAAATATTTATTACAAAATGGGAAGACATCGGCGTGATGAAAAAGATTTTCATTTCGATTTTTATTTCTTCCGATGTCTTGCAGATATTTCAAAGATTCTTTTTCCACGTGTTGAATGGGCCGTACTCTTCACGTTTGCTACACTTTTTTTTGCTATTGCTAGTAAGTTACTTTTAAATAAGTGAAATGAAATTTAAAATCCGAAAACAATAGATGGATAATTTATTGTTTTCCAATTAACATAATTTGACTTAGCAAAAGACAATGTTTTCAAATATTAGCAATTTATCAAAAAACTAATTAGCAAAATTAGGAGAGAGATAATCTTAAAAATTATTACCCTTAAATTATAGAATGTATAAAATGACTAAACACAGTACAGTATATAAGAATTTAACTAATGATTACAGGTGAAGTTTTAACGTTTTTGACGGGTATGGTACCAGGCCGAATATATCAGGCATTAGCAGATAGAAGTGAATCGGAATTCTGGCGTATTTTCCTCATTGGCTCAATTGTATATATCGGCAACTGTGTGGTAAAAACAATTGTTAAAATGATATTTTTTCACTTCTTGGAAGTTGCAACAGAATTTTAGTAACTTCGTTCTTCCTTGTTAATAGACCTGAACTTTCAAAGTTTGATTAATTGTTTCAGTTAATTGTTGTTTAACTTTCGAAATTTAATTGTTTAAATGATTTCGATCATTCTCATAATTAAATATATTATTTTCCGATAATATGAACTGATCATTTCTTGCCTATTATTGTTTTAGCACTAAATTTTATTCCTTTAATAGCAATAATTTTCTGTATATTTTAAATCTTTGATATTGTCTTAGAAGCCTATTAGACTTAATGAAAGTTTTGAATTTTTTCTTTCATACATTAATTAAATTTGAATTATTACTGATAATGATTAAAACAACAGTTAATTATTACAGATGCAAACCCTTTGTTCTTCTTTCAATAATTCGATAAATTAATATTTAGACATTTCTATTTGAATCATAAATTTAATTTTAGACTTATTTTAAAACAGATGATATGATAATTTCACATTCCTCTTTTTGCTTATTATAATTTATGAGATGAGCATTATCGTACTATGATTATTATGATAATTATGATAATATCATATTCGAGGTTTTTGTTTCCTTTTCTATTTTTTCAGTTGATAGCTTTGAAATCGTTCACATCATGGCAACTCTATTTATGTTGGCGTAAAAATGCGGTAATCAAACTTCAGCAATGCTATTTTAATAATCATGCNTCATATTCGAGGTTTTTGTTTCCTTTTCTATTTTTTCAGTTGATAGCTTTGAAATCGTTCACATCATGGCAACTCTATTTATGTTGGCGTAAAAATGCGGTAATCAAACTTCAGCAATGCTATTTTAATAATCATGCCTATTATAAAATCAATAATATTGATGATTATGGCATCGATAATCCGTAAATTAATTTTTTTATTAAAATTTTTAATTTATTAATTAATCTAATTTTCCGAACGACTATCTTTTTTTGTTAATTTCTAATTTACACTTTATTGGATATCAAATTTCGTTTCATTTTTTGAAACACTTTTTTCTGACAGCTGCAAGTTAATTTCATTTGGATATAACTTTGAACATTTCTTTTGTTTTAATTTTTTAATGTGTTATTTTAATTTTACAACTTTTTTATAGTAATTTCATCAATTAATTGATAAATATATATTTGAAATATAAAAAAGAAGAAAAGAAAGAAGGAGAAATAAATTGTAGTGATCAGCGTATCACACAAGATACTGAAAGAATATGCAATCAATTAGCAATTAATATAATGCCTTCTGTACTGATCGGACCATTTGTTATCGCTTTCTATACCTATAAAACATATATCAGGTGAGTGATAATATTGTTTCTATAAGTTTAATTTTAATGATTTTATCTAAAACTTTAATAAAATTTAATTTGCGATGTAGGGATCTATTAATTATATTGTTCGATGAGAAGTTATTAATTTATTTTATATTATATTTAAATTTATTTATAATAAGTTTTTGAATTATTATGAAGTTTTTTTTTCAAAAATAAAAGTAAAAATATCGAAATTAGTCAGTAAATATTTATGAATATTATAATTTGTTTGCAGAAAATGTTAAAATAATTAATTCTTTTTAAACAATCATAAAATTAAAAATTTGTTGAAATATTTCAGCACTGGTAGTTTGGGTATTGCTATTATTTATGGATATTTTGTTGTTGGTATTATTGTTAACAAATTTCTTATATCACCGATGGTTAAATGGAATGCTCGAATAGAGAAAGCAGAAGGTGACTTTAGGTATCATCCTTTTCTTTAATTTCATTTCTTTATTTTTCTATTTCACCAAATGATAATGATAATTGTTGTTATCTTTATTATAACAATAATTGGCAAAATTTAGATTAGAAGAAAAGAAATATAAATTTTTTGCAAAATTTTAAATATTATATATTTTTAATATATTTGATAAATAGCTAACTGCTGAAATAAAATAAAGTTTTATGATTAAATGAACTTTTCATCGAATTAAAAGACAATTTAAATTGGCGATCAATCATTATTATTATTATTAAGCTAATATGTTTACAATTATTCAAAAATCAAACAACGAAATTAATTTAATTATTAATGAAAGATAAACAAAAACAAAACTTGGAATTGACAAACACACTTACCATTTTTGTTATTTCATATTTAAAATTTAAAATCGAAAGAGAAATTTAATTCATTAGAAATATAAGAAGGAAGTTTCATAACAAACTGAATTTTCAATTGGACTGTTTGAGTTGTTAAATTATTTCATTAAAAATTATTCAAATTAACTTAATTAATAATAATTAAATAAATTTAAGGTATAAACATGTTTCAATACGGAATAATGCCGAATCAATTGCTCTGTACGAAGCAGAACCATTCGAGCAATATGAATGCAATCGAATATTTATGTTACTTTGGTGGCGACAATTTAAATTTATGTGCTGGAAATTACCGAATTTATGTAAGTTTATTGAATATTAACACCAATCATTCTTTATAGTTTATGAATAATCGGTTTATGAATTTCCAAACCGTTTATGAATGAAGTTTATGAATTTCCGAACCGTTTATGAATGAAGTTTATGAATTTCCGAACCGGGATGAATTGCTGTTTCGAAATTATATATTATTCGTTTTATGACGGAAAGTGTCGTCGATTCGATGGAACACCCTTTTTTCCTGGACATTCAAATTTTTATTATAAATTTACTAAGACAATTATTTATTTGTTGTGTGAAACATTATTTCAACTTCTCTATAGATTATCACGATAACGATAGCAACAGCCAATTGCAATAATTATTATTATAGTTGTTATTAATAATAATATTATAACGATAATAAATAATTAATAATATTAATGATATTGATAATAATAATGATGGTATAATAATAAAAAATAATAATTGATATTAAAAATAATAATAAATGGTAATGTTTAGGAAGCCTTTTCCCTCGCCTCAACTTTTCTTATCATATCATATATCATATATTATTTGCTCATTTCTTATCTTTGATTTTGGCATAAAAAGATTGAAAAAGTTGACATGACCCGAAATGAATTAAATATTTCATACTTTTGCTAAACATGTAGCAGAAATGTTAACTTTATTTAGTGCACAAAATTTTTATTTCAAATTTTATGGATTAAATTTTAATATATAAATGAAATTTTTGTTTTTGAGTTTGGCAACAACTTTATGACTATTATGGTGGAATTTTAAGCTATGCAATACAATTTATTCCGATACTAATTACTGGATTATATGATGATTTACCGATGCAAGATTTAGGAAGGATTATAAGTAATGTTAGTGTACAGACGTTTTTTTTCGAATTTTTGCTTTTATTTTGATTTAAGAAATCATTATCACTATGTTATCATTACTATTATCATTTCTAATGTTATCATTATTACTGTACATTTACTATTTAATATAACTGCGCTTGTTATGTTTGTTATTAGTTATTATTATTACTATTATTATTATTATTATTACTGTTATTATTATTACTATTATTATTATTAATATTAATATTATTATTATTATCGCTATTATTATCATTAGTAGTAACACCAATAATATTTATTTCATCGAATGTTTTACTTAAAATTTTCAAATAATTACTTTATAAATGGATATTAGCAATATCTTCTGATGCTCTTTAGCAAAAAAAATATTGCAAAATGCAATAATTTAGCTAGGAAGTCTATAAAATTTAATGTAATTAAATTTTTAGAATGCATTTGTATATATGTATTTGATGAATAGTTTCACACGAATAACAGGTATAGCAATTAGTGCTGGTGAAATGGCTGGCATATTGCAACGGTAACTATAATTGCGCTTAGAAAATCATAACACTTCTATTAACTGAAAAGAATTCTGAAAAATACTTCGAAATATGCATTATACGATAAATTCTAATCATTTTCGATAAATTCTGAATCATTTCCGACAAATTCTGAATCATTTTCGATAAATTCTGAATCATTTTCGATAAATTCTGAATCATTTTCGATAAATTCTGAATCATTTTCGATAAATTCTGAATCATTTTCGATAAATTCTGAATCATTTCCGATAAATTCTGATTCATTTCCGACAAATTCTGAATCATTTTCGACAATTCTTATTTCAGATGACACTATTGAAGGAAAAAGAATGAAAAAATAGAAATATACAATAATTTTTGTTGTCAACATTAAAGATACATATACTTTATTATTGCTACCATTTATTTAAAAAATAAAACAAAACGAAAAAGACAAAAAATTTTTTAGAAATTTTTAAATTAAACAATATTTAAAAATTGTATTTATCAAAAGCTTTCTTTCTCATTTCAATTTTTCTATGAAAAAATACGAAATTTTAATTTTGTTTTCAGTGTGGCAGAATTGGTTCACATATGCAAACATATCGGCGATAACAACACAACTGGTAGAAATAACATTTTTAATTAACCATTTTTAATTTTTCCAATGAAGACTTGAAATTTTATTTCTTGATAGAGCAGCTGCTTGAGCTGTTATTATTTTGGAACAATTTCAGACAAAATTAATTTTGTGTTAATTAAAATTGATGATGTAAGCAAAATTTTNATACGATAAATTCTAATCATTTTCGATAAATTCTGAATCATTTCCGACAAATTCTGAATCATTTTCGATAAATTCTGAATCATTTTCGATAAATTCTGAATCATTTTCGATAAATTCTGAATCATTTTCGATAAATTCTGAATCATTTTCGATAAATTCTGAATCATTTCCGATAAATTCTGATTCATTTCCGACAAATTCTGAATCATTTTCGACAATTCTTATTTCAGATGACACTATTGAAGGAAAAAGAATGAAAAAATAGAAATATACAATAATTTTTGTTGTCAACATTAAAGATACATATACTTTATTATTGCTACCATTTATTTAAAAAATAAAACAAAACGAAAAAGACAAAAAATTTTTTAGAAATTTTTAAATTAAACAATATTTAAAAATTGTATTTATCAAAAGCTTTCTTTCTCATTTCAATTTTTCTATGAAAAAATACGAAATTTTAATTTTGTTTTCAGTGTGGCAGAATTGGTTCACATATGCAAACATATCGGCGATAACAACACAACTGGTAGAAATAACATTTTTAATTAACCATTTTTAATTTTTCCAATGAAGACTTGAAATTTTATTTCTTGATAGAACAGCTGCTTGAGCTGTTATTATTTTGGAACAATTTCAGACAAAATTAATTTTGTGTTAATTAAAATTGATGATGTAAGCAAAATTTTCGAAAATTTGCCAATTAAATAATTATAGAAATTTGAAATAAAATGCTGAATAATATTTTTATTAAACTTCTTACCTTTAACTTCTTACCTTCTTACCTTTTATTAAACTTCTTACCTCTTATCCTCTTACCTTTAAATGAAATCGATCAAGCATATGCAAAAGTCGTACAAAGCGCTCTGTGCAATAATGTGCTGGCATTTACATTTTTGTATTTTCTATGATACATATAGCTTTACTTCATCTGTGATGTTTCAAATTAACAATCAATATTGCTATTCTTCAATATTAAATTTTATATTGAAATAATTTAAATACAAAAAAAATTAGAAAATATTATCAATTATTTTTAATAATCATTATAATGCTACAAATATGAAGCATTTTATAAAAATGAATTTCATTATTTTAACTTATTTTAATTATTTTACTTGTAATTAAGAAATTCCTCTTATATTGCAGGATATGATGATATTGTAGTTGATTCAACATTAAAAAAAGGTGATACTAATCAGTGTATGATATATGATATTCATAATATTAGCTATTCATTACCAAATTATTCCACCCAAAAACTACTTAATGGTATTCATAATTAAAAATACATTTTTTTAAACATCAATTCATACAAATGATTATTTACAATAGTTAATGAAAACGGAATAAGTTATTGATCGGAATATCTTCCGGAACATTTATACTTATCGGCAGTATTACGGCATATTACTGTTACATACAAATGTATTTGTTGACATTTAGTATGTGAGAATAATTAAATCTTTAGTAATTAAATTTTTTTCCCTAATTTAAACTTTTTTTTAATTTTTTTAATTTTCAAAATTTAGAATATTTTTGTTCAAAAAATATTTTAATTTCTTTTAAATATTCGTTTTCATAAGTTAAAATAATTATTTTAATCAAACAAAAATTAATTAAATTATTATCATTTTTTGTAGATTTTTCATTTGCAATCAATAGGAATGCAAAAATTTGGATAATAGGTCCTAATGGATGTGGAAAAACTGCACTGATACGTGTGCTATCACAATTATGGCAATATCAATCTGGTATCATCTCTTAGTATTAGTAAAAATTTCGCATTACATTTTAGTATTAATCATATTTATCATTTGTCAGCCTTTAAAAAAACTAATTCTAAATTAGACAGAATGAATTAATTAAATTAATTTAATTAATGTATTAAATTAAATAATTTTAGAAGATAATTTTATGCATTATCTTTAAGAGATTTGTATCACATCATGTGTGATATATGTATATCGGTGTGTAAATATAAATATTCACGAAAATTTCGATCATCATGTGTATTTATTTAAAGGACATATAAGATGTGGAGCTAAACGTGGACAAATTTTACGCCTATCACAAATACCTTATTTTCCCTGTGGTCATTTAAGTTTATTTCAACAAATTAGCTTTCCAGCAACAAGCATTTCAAATAGTCTTGAACGAATTGATAATGGTAATTTTTATCAAATATATTATCATTATATCAATTAGACTCTGATTTCTCTGATAAAAAAAAATCTAAAAAACAATTTTATTTTCAATTAACGATTAATTATATCTAATTATTGCTAGTATTTGAGATATATAATGCATATTTACTAATAGTAATTAAATTTTTTAGAACTTAAAATTAATTGTTTTCGAATTTAAATTGAATTTCAACAATTTAATTTTATTTTTTACATCAATGTAAAGAAGTGAGAAAAGGCTATTTTAATTTTTCAGATTATGTATCTATTAATAGCATTTTAAATGAATTAAAACTTGATTGGTTAATTGAACGTTGTGAAGGACTCTTTAATCCGGTTGAATTTGAATGGTTAGTATTATTTCCTGAAAGATTTTAATTATTTGAATTTTCGGTTGAATTTGAATGATTAGTATTGTTTCCTGAAGATTTTAATTAATTAAATTTCGGGTTGAATTTGAATGGTTAGTATTATTTCCTGAAAGATTTTAATTAATTGAATTTCCGGTTGAATTTGAATGGTTTGTATTATTCCTTCAAAGAGTTTAATTATTTGAATTTATTTCTAAATATTTAAAATTTGCTTAAAATTAATGATTTTGGAATTTCGAAATATTTCTTTTAAATATCATTGTTTTTTCGTAAACCTTTAATAATTAATTAAAAAATTTGAAATATTCTTTTTAGGCAAAATACATTAACACCAAGTGAGCAACAACGATTTGCATTTGCCCGAGTATTATTTCAACAACCGCAATTTGTTATTTTAGATGAATCAAGTAGTTGTATCGATTTAGAAATCGAAGAACATATCTATCAACTTCTTATTTCGGTATAGTTTTAATGTTGAAATATAAGTTTAATAATTGTTGCAATAAATACTTCTAATAATAATAATAGCAATTAATAACTACTAAGTTATGATAATTAAATTAATTAATAATAAACAATGAATAGTGCAAGATAAAACTCAGAAATGAGAATAATTATTATAAATAATTCTAATAGTAGTAATAATAATAAAATATTCATTGCTAAATTAATAATAATTTAACGATATATAATAAATAGATGCAGCAATTGCTAAATTAATAATAATTAATAGATAAGAAATCCCCGTAAATAAAAAGAGTTGCAGTAAATTTCTTGCCAACCATCAAAAATCTTTATTATGCAAATTAATTTCAAGAAACGAGATTCATTGATTATTAATATAGAAAGGAATTAGTTAGTTACAAAAGACATATTTACAATTATTTATGATAGATTATTAAGGTAATGATTACATCTAATTAATCGATTATATTATTTAGATTAATCAATTTGAATTTGATGTGTTATTTTGTAGAATAATATTGGCTTTATATCAATTGGTCATCATCCATCATTAATTAAGTTCCACGATACGATACTACATTTGGATGGTTGTGGTAATTATAAGATTCGATCATTGCGATCATTTAGTTCAATTTCCACGATCGATCTTATTAATTCTAATGATTTTTCAAATTCAACCTAATCTTTTTCCTTTTCTTTTACATTTACCATTCTTTTTAAATTAGTTTTCAAATGCAAAATTATTTAACGGAAAATTTCTGTCTACAAGTAATTAATATGCTTTTGTTTGTGTTAGTAATGATATTTTCACTTAGTCATTGTCTAAGTTCTTAATTCAAATTACTTAATTTAAATTATAGAATGATTCATAAATCATTAATTAGTTTTTAGCTTTTATACAATGCCGAATTATTTTATACATATATGTAATAATGTTGAACTTGAATAAAAGTAAAATAAAGCTATAATTAGAATTAATTTTATTAATTGGGCAATTAATTTAAAATTGCTAAAAGTTTCATTGTTATTCGGAATAAATAAAATTTTGTTATTTTCTTTCTAATATTGTTAATTGTTTTTCTAATTATAACAATGTTTTTGTTTCTCTAATTATAATAATGTTTTTGTTTTTCTAATTATAATAATGTTTCTTTTTAATTATTTTCAAATAAAGAAAATTAATAGTTTTTAAATGCTTTTTTCTTATAACCTAGAATTGAATGAATTATAATAGTTATTGCAGTTATTAATAACATTTTTAAATTATGCATTTAAATTGAAGATTTTATAAATTTGTCATAAAATTCAAACATTCTTCCCATCAATGACAGCTTTGACAATTTCCAATATATGGATGGAAAGTAATTAGCTTAATTGGTCGAACTACAGGTTCTCCCTGTCATTATTGAATTGAATTCCAAACTGTTAATTACATTTGTTTTAGACAGTGTAAATGTTTATGGTGAAAAATATCAAAGAATCCAGAAAATAGAAGTTTCAGATAAAAATTAATATGTGATAACCTTCGATGTTAATACTAATTTGAAACCTTTTTTAAACTTAAAAATAGGGATAAAAACTTTGTCTCAACAATAACTTTAAGTATTACATTCCTCAAAATATTTATCTCTAATTCAACTGTATTAGATTATTCCACAAATAAACTTAAAATTAAAATGACTCATCATATTGTTTTTTTATTAATTAATTAAAATAAATTGTGGAATGCTCCTGCCAACTTATTAAGAGAGTGCAATTGTGTACTTTTTATAAAAGTAATTAAATTTAATTATTTAAATATTTTTGTGCGTTAGTTTTAAATTATTTCAATTTTGAAAATTCGACTATATTTTTTATGTTTGTAGCAATGATGGCTTGTTCATTTAGTGCCACATCTAACGACTAGAGATTTGAAATTTGATAAGATCAGCTAAATATCGGATAACATCTAAAAGTACAATTTTCATCAGTTATCACTTTTTAAACTGATAATAATACAAATCAATGATATGAAAGCACTCGGGTTTTATTTCTCGTCAAAAAAATGAAACAGAAAATGCAAATATGAGAAAGACAAATTTTATCCAAATAATGAAAGACATCATTTGAAAGTATCACAGTATCACCTGTGGATTATTCTCTTATTAATTTTCATAATTTTTTATAGGTTAAATTTCGAAACAAAAAAATAAGCAACTATTTAACATTAAAATTGAAATTCTCCTAATATTAAAGTTAGGCATGCACCGATCGTTTTTTGCTACAAATAGTTGTTGTTTGTTTTAAGAAAAATAAAATGCCGTATTTCAGGTGGAAATTAATAAAAGTAACTAATGTAATTGAAAAAAAAAGAGAATTATCCAAAAGTAATACTGAAGGCTCCCATTACCTTTTGTGTTAATTAAATTTTTTCATTTATTTTTTGGTTAATTAACCTAAAATTAAAATTTTTCTCTTTCTCGTTATCGTTAAATTTTTATAATTCATTTTCAATTCACAATCATTCAGCTAAAAAGCAATTCATTAGTGGAGAAAATAAAAATTAGGTAATTGAGCTTGAGCAAATTTCCAGATTGATAACGAAAGCGCTATGATTGAAATGTATCATCCATTTCCCATTTTCATCTCATTCATTTCAAATTCGATCAATTTTCATTTTTGCCTTAAAACCGATCTCATTAAATTTTAGATTGAAAAATCTCATTTAGAATTGAAAATAAAAATCGGATGATATTTCATTATTAAAAAGAAAAATGAATGAAAGCACTTAGTAGATGAATAAGTAAATTTAGGTGAATGATTAAAATTAGAATTCCAATTCCAATTCTAATTCCAATTCCAATTATTCCAAAATTCATTCATTCATTTATGATAAATGTCAAACGATCGATCACCTAAAATTTGAAAGACATATAGAAATGATAGATATAATTTCTTTATTTCTAGCAAAAGAAATTTTCAAAATTTTATAATCACATATTCGGTATTTCGTTTCTTTCATTTTTTTTCATCGTAGCTGTCTGCAATACAATCCGGAAGGAATGATACAATCAATATTCATTGATGGTTTCTGAAATTACTTTTTTAAAAAATCGATTATTATATTTTATTCACATAAATTTTAATTTAATCTTCCCTAATTTAAAACAATCGAATGAATCAATCAATATTATGTAATTACTGAAATGAACTAATTATAATAATCAATCAATAAATAAAGCTACATTATCAAAATTTTAATTCTTTGAAGTTGGAAATAATGCAAAAAGAAAAAGAAATATTTCAGTAAAATCGGATTGAAAAAAACAAAAGAAAAACGATTATAAAACGGATAAAATGATTAAACCGGAAAAAGGGAAAACAAAATAGAATGAAATATTAGTAGTGGCTGGTTGGTATAAAGTAGTTTTATTGCGATTAAATGAAAACTTTCTGAATTTTGTTAGCATCAAAGTAAGTAAAAATAAATTCAATAAATATTTATTTGTAATTTATCAATCCTTTATTTACTTCAATTTAATTTATTACTTAAAAACTTTTTAATTAATTTCATATAAAATTTCTTCAATCTTTTATGATCAAATTACCCGATGAAATCGGTTGCATTCCACATAATATCATATTGTTCCGGCATCAATTTCTGCCTTCCGGTTTTCTATGAACCAAATTTCGTTCCATATCTTCACAAAATCATTTTTATTTATAATATTAAATTTAAATTTAATTTTAAGTTGAATTTAAATTAGAATTTCAATTTCTTTCCATACACACACATTACACATAATTTTTATAATTTAAATTCAAACTTAAAATTTTTCAACTTAATAGTGAATATTTTCAGAGAGTATTAATAAATTACAGGTAAGAAAACAAAATTTCTCCTTTTCAATTAATTAATGAAAATTTTTCAAACCATTAATAAATCAAAGAGTGAGAAATAATTAAATTTATTAAGGAAACAAAAAACAATGGCAAAATTACCTATTTCAGATATTAATGTTTGAAAAACAAAAAGAGAGAAAAGGGTCAATCGATTGATTGATTGATAATTGATTGATTTAGTTGTTGGACGACGATTTGGAAGAAATTTGTTGAAAGCCGTTGAAAATGTGTGAAAACAAAGCAGACAACTAAGTGTTATTCAATGAATCAACCGTTTTTATATGCCACACAGACACCCACACATACACAGACAGACAGACACAGACACACACGTACTTCAAGCCTATTGCGCTTTTCCGGTGAAATGGATTTGGTCGACGATCTCGCAAATAATTTATTCAAACAACGATGACGTTTTTTGACCAATTTGAAATTACCGTAATTTCATTCGTCATTCTTTCTTTTTCCGTCATTAATTCCGTTTTTGTTATTTTTTCATATTTTCAATTATGGGGTTTTTCTTTTCTTTTACTTTCTCCTTCAATTCAATTTTTATTTCTTTTCTTTTTCTATTGAATTTAATTTTTTGTCAAATTATAATTTTAAATATAATTTATTTTATAGTATAATTTATTTGTATTAACAATTATTATTATTATTGTTCAACTATTACTTTTATTAATAATAAACAATTTTTTTGTTTAATAATATTGTTAATGTTTATACTTTTATTTATTATCACAATAATTAAGTAATAATAGTTGTTGTTGTTATTGTTGTTGTTGTTGTTGTTGTTGTTGTTGTTGTCATTGACATATTAATTGGGTTTATTTCATTCCTGTAAATGTAAGAAAAATTATTATTAATATAACAAACTGTCATTGTTTTGTTGAACTCTGATCATTTCCAATAGTTCATTTTTCCTTCGTCACATTTATTTTTTTGTTAGTTAAATGTAACATTGAAATTTATTTAAATTTTACTTCCGCGTCTAAAAAGTTCAGTAAAATTGAAAAGTTCAATTTTACAGATACGAAAGCATTATTCGATTGGAAGCTGTCACTATTAATTGACATTTCAGCTCGTAATTTCACTTTTTTTCTTCACCTTCCACTTTGTGTCTTTCAAAAGATAATCATTGATTTGATATCGTCTTTTTTCTTTTCTTCTCTATTTCAATCTTTTAACCAAAAATTCACATAATATTTCATCTAACGATTTCACTTCTATCAAATTGAATTAATTGTTTATATTTTAATAGAAATTAAATGTAGACAAAAGATCAGTGTTATCAGTAATGCATATTATTAATTTAACAGTGCTTCCAAATCGAAATGTTTGAAATTTTCAATTAATAACAATAATTGTCGGGAAAAATTGTATGCATAACAAATGATGTAAGAAAGTGTTATATATGAATGAATGATTAAAAAATGTAATATAGTGATAACAAATTTATTATAGTTATGATAATAATATAGTAGTTTTATTGTGATATGTGCCAATAAAAACAACTGATATATGATTATGATATAATGATAATGAATTGGTATATGATCATGATATAATATGTAGTTTTGTTGTGATATGTGTCGATAAAAACAACCGATATATGATTACGATATAATGATAAGGAATTGGTATATGATCATGATATAATATGTAGTTTTGCTGTGATATGTGTCAATAAAAGCAACCGATACATGATTATGATTTAATGATAACGAATTGGTATATGATCATGATAGTGATAATATGTAGTTTTGCTGTGATATTGTAACGATATGGACAAATTCATCTTTATATGTGTATTAGATTATTTTTTTGCAATGTATTTAATTTATTCTTTTCCGCTCAAATATACAGTTTATTTAATAAATTTTTGAACTTCATTGTTGTGTTCAGTTTAATCATAACATTTCTTCTTAATTATGAAATTCTTATTTCCTTCTTTTATATATTAAAATAAAGTTGAAATTTTGTTTATCGATTTCTCAATTAATCCATTTAAAATATTTTCTGCTAAATATATTTAAATTTCTGATAGATATTTCGAAATAATTGTTAGAATTATATAAATGGAAAAGAAGAAATTTTAGGAATATTTTTACTAATACATTAATCTGTCATTTAAAGAACTCCTCTTTTTTCTTTTATTTACATATCTGTCAACAATTTCATCATTCATAGAATTATTTACAAAGATAGTAATTCATTTTCATTAATTTATTTTTTATTTTTTAAATGAAAAACAAAGAAAGAAATAAGCGTAATATAATCTTATAAATTTTTTTTTCATTTTTCCAAAATATATTTGTAAATTTGATACGAATCATACTTATATATATTCATAATATTAACTTATTTCATTCAATTACTTATACATATGTATTAGCTTACGAATATACTTATGATGAATATACTTATATATATTCATAATATTAACTTACGAATATACTTATGATGAATATACTTATGTATATTCATAATATTAACTTACTTTATTCAATTATTTATATATATGTATTAGCTTACGAATATACTTATGATGAATATATTTATGTATATACATAATACTAACTTACTTTATTCAATTATATATGTATTAACTTACGAATACACTTATGATGAATATATTTATATAAACTTACTTAATTCAATTATTTCAATATTTATTTTATACTTTTTTTAAAAATAAAAAATGATAGCAAAAAAGAGGAAAAGGAAAAAGAAGCAAGAAAAATGTCAGCTTAAAACTTTTTTCCCATAAATTTATTTTGTTTTAAATCGACAAGAATGAAAGAAGAAGAAAAGTTGATTGAAATTGACCGGGGAATATCGGGAATTAGCTTTTCCCATCATCAAAATGATCGATTAAGAATGAACGGATGAATGAGAAAAGAAGAGGAAGGAAAATTTCTCTTTCCAATTATCAATTTCTTTCTTTTTTTTTCTTCCTTGTCTTTCTTTCATTCTTTCATTCTTTTCTTTTTTTCTCTGTGAAATATTACTTCTTGTACTCTTTCTTTTTTTAAAAGTGCAACTAAAATTAAATTTATTTTAAATTATTTCAAATACTTTTTATTCATTCATTTATTAATTGTAATTCTTTCAGTTTTATCTTATCATTATGTTAATTTATTGTATTTCCGTCAATAATAATTTACTATTATGATTGAAATAAAAAATTGCATTTATTGTTTGTCCAAATTACAATAACAATAAACAATAACAATAGCAAAAGAAAACGTTGTCTGTCCAAATTACCATAACAATAAACAATAATAATAATAACAAAAACTAAATTATTGTAAACATATTTACTAAAAAAATGATTACAAGAACAAAAGAACAAAATGAAATTGTTAACAGAATTAATTCGCTAATAAAAATTATCAAAAAATATTAGTACTATAAAATTTTCAAAATCATAAATAATAATTTTGCTTATTTGAAATAAAAATAAATAAATATATAATTAAAATATATTTATATAATTAAAATAAAAATACATAATTAAAATTAAAATATATAATTTGTAATTTTTTTAGAGATATGTGGAAAATTAAACTTTCAAATATTTAAAAGAGTAATATCCTTAATTTATTGCCTTTTTTTATTGCTTTTTGGTTATTAAAAAAAATAAGGAAATTTTACAATGCCTTAAAATTGACATCATCATCATCATCATCATCATGCTGCCAGCTGTATATGAAATAAACCCTAAAATTGTTAGATATCCCACACGTTAGTCATTAATCTCTTGTTTTTGTTAAAGATTTTATAATTCAAAAGGAAATCAATGATGAATTGTTGATCGAACAAGAAGAAAAGAACTGGCAATTTCTTTAATTCAAAAAATGCTTTTGTTAGTTGAAAAATGTAATGTATCATAGAAACGATTATCGCCGAATAAATCTTTGAGCATAAAAAGTTTCATTCTTTACTTAGCAAATTTTACATAAAAAAATATGAAATTTCTTTATTTAAAAAAATTGCGCACAATTATAGTTATATTACAAATATTCAATAATAATCATTTATTATCACTATAATATAATATGAAATCAAAACAATATGTTTGATTGTATTACAGTTCAAAGTTACACATATTCATAATGATATCTGTTAATTTAAAATTACGCATTACATAGTAATTTCTAATAACTTATTATGTACTGTATTATCTGAAAAAGCGAATAAAATTAATTGATTTAATTACTTATTAATTAATTTTAATTGAGGAGTTAGGTGAATCAAATCAAACAATTTGATATCTTATCCTTTAGGATTCTCTTCCTACCATCACATTTAATATATTGTATTATCTGAAAAAGCGAATAAAATTACTTGATTTAAATATTTTAATTAATTATAATTGAAGATTTGAATAAATCAATCAAGCACTTTGACATTTCATCCGTCAAGAATTCTTTCTTTGCCTAAATTTAAAAACTTTATGTAATTTGAATTGATTATGATCGAATGATTAAATAAAATGCATCAAATTTGTTTACTATATTATTCTATATTATTATATTATTTGTTAGTATAATATAATATTATCCCTTATAATTATTCTACTTCAATTATTCAACTTTAAACATTCAACAAACTTTAATAATTATTCTACTTCAAGCATTCAACAAACTTTAACTGTAAACATTCTTCATCGTTCATCTTTCACTATCCATCTAAAGTCATTAATTATTATTACAAACATTTTTACAGCTTTTTTTTTTCCTCTTTGTTTTTGTCATTTAAATTATTAAATAAACAACGCTAAAATATTTATTACCAAAAATAAGTTTGTTTTATTACTTTATCATGGAAATTGAATGATTTCTTCAAAAAGAAATTGTTGTAAAATTGTTGAAATTACGAATACATTAATTAATTAACAAAGTGTAAATTTTAAAAGAAAAGAAAATGAAAAATTCGTCGAAAAGAAAATAAAACTTTCTTTGATTTCTTTCCGAAAGGAGAAAAAATGAGTTGAACTTTTATAAAACAAAAAGTTTGGCTTTTACGAAATATTTCAAAATTAAAAATGAATTTTAAAAATTTGAAAAAAAAGATTTTTTACTGATAAATTGTTGTTTTTGTTGAATAAATTTTTCTTCTCTTCTTTGCAACATTATAGATTCAATGGCAAATGTTGGCAGTAGTGATAATGATTATTTTCGTGATAGTGATTAAAATAAGAAATTTTATTAATTTAATTAATTTTGTAAGAATATGAAATTTAACTGATTTAATTAATACATATGGATGGATACATATGTGTGATTTAATTAACACATATGGATGGATACGTATATGTGATTTAATTAATACATATAGATGGATACGTATGTATGTGTTTGTGTATATGTGCATGTGCATGTGTGTATGTGTGTGTGTGTGTGTGTGTGTGTGTGTGTTAAAAAACAATAGCAATAGTAATGAGAGCAAAGATATTTAAATTGTGTAAGAATTGAAATGTCGTAATTTAACAATTTTAAATTGAATTCATAACATTCATTCTGAAATATTTCAGCAATGAGCAAAAACAAAACATTTCTACGTTCCTTTGTTTTTTTGTTTGCTTACTGACAGTCTTTAATTCATTTTAAATCAAAGAATTTTCAAATTGAATTGTCTAAAAAATTTGTTATTTAAAAAATTTTTCCATAAATTTTTCTCTTTTTTCATATTTTGAAAGCATTTTGAAAATTTCAAAGTTTACTGATAAGTTGATAAGTTATTTGCGTTGTTGATAACATTAGTGATATGTTAATAAATTGTAGTTGAATTTGAACAAAATTACTCAATTTTAACGATTTATTTCAAAATTTATTATAAAATTAAAAAGATCGAATTAATTGTGATATTAATTGATAAAAATGCAATTAAAACAAATTAATTTAATTAGTAATTATTACAATAAAGAGTGAAAATTTGTTTATTTTATTGAAAAACAATAACTTATCAATATACAAAACATTTTAGGTTAAAATAATTTAATTAGTAATTTCTTAAATTTTATTATTTTTTTAAACAAAAAATTAAAATAAAGATTTTTACCACGTTTAAATATTTATGAAATAATACATATCTTTTAGGTATTAATGAATTTTTGCAATAAAGCGACGATTCAGAAAATAATCGTTGATGTAATTTGATAACGAACATAAAAGAACTTATTTAGCAAATTAATCGATTTCTAATTTCATTAATTAAAATATGCATTTGTTTTTATCTCTTCTTCTCTTATTTTATGTAATAAATAATTACTAGTCTCATTAATTAAAATTATTCTACTAATATTCATTTGTTTTCCTTTTTTCTCTTACTCATAAAGAGGTAATTGAAACAAGTATTCATGTTCACAGTATCCTGGTCCTTCAGCCGGTTGTACTGGATATCCTTGTGCTGCCATTCGGCATTGCATTTCATACAATCTACAAATAAATCATTATCAACTTATCATTATCATTATAAAAAAAGATAGTAGTTTCAAATAAAAATATTATCAGCTATTAGTTATTTTTATTAGTTGAAGATGAAATACTTTAGAAATCATTATCATTACTGATAAAAGATCGTATAATCGTATGTTGGTATGTTTTATCTTGAAATAAATCATTATCAACCAATCTTCATCATTCTTAAAAATGATTCATATGTTTTTACTTTCTTCTAATTTGTTACTCATTCGGATTCATCAAAACAAAACTTTTATATCATTTTCTATTACTATTTTCAAATTTAAAAGGTGATAAAAATTAAGCTAAGATATAAATTATGATTTAAATAATATATATAAATAATATTGATAATAAATAATGATTTACATAATATATATAAGTAATGTTGATATCAAATAGCGATTTAAATAATATATACATAAATAATGCTGATATTAAATAATGATTTAAATAATATATGTATAAATAATGTTGATATTAAATAATGGTTTAAATAATATATATATAAATAATGTTGATATTAAATAATGATTTAAATAATATATGTATAAATAATGTTGATATTAAATAATGGTTTAAATAATATATGTATAAATAATGTTGATATTAAATAATGGTTTAAATAATAAATATGTAAATAATATTGATATTAAATAATGATTTAAATAATAATATTTATTCATTCTATCTTTTTTATTTGGAAGAAATTCAATATTAAACAAATTTCAAAAAATTTCTAGTATTTTAAATTAATTATCTATTTAAAAAAGAAGATTTTTGCTACTGCCATACATTTTTCGATTTTTAATTGCATTAGAAAAAATGATTTGTCCATGTAATGGATCTCTTAAAATTAGTGATAAGTAAGTGAAACAAATTGAAAAATAACCTTGGCCATGCTTTTTCAATACTTTTCGTTTCAACCGAACTCCATAAACGTTCTCCAACGGCACTTGCACGTGGCCATAATCGTGGTATCACGTTACTTTCATCAACCCATTCACCCCAAAGTGCTGCTTCACCGCCTATCACAAGATGTTTTTGCTCTTCGCTACCACCGAATTCCTTATATATTTCCATTAATTTCTTTTTTTCATGATTAATATTATAAACAATGAAAAAAGAATAATGAAATAAAATATTATATTTTATATTTTTAAAATCATAATTAAAAGAATTTTTTAATTAGTTAGTAATTTTTAATTAATTAACAAATTTTTTAATTAATTAGTTTCCTTAAATTTCACGAACTTTTATGGACTTTCTTTCTTCCCATATAATACATAACTTTTAATTTTAATTTTTATTTTTTAATTTATTCGCTATAATTATAATATCTGAGTAATTCCTTATAATATAAAAATTCCCACATTTATTATCAATATAATTTGAAATGTTTATTTTTCACTCAAAATGAAAAATTACTGCTAAACCTGTGGATCACAATTGTAGTATGATTTCCAATCAGCGGTAGATGAGATTGAATCGAGATACCAACAAGATGATAAGATTGCATAATATCCCATTTTTGTCGTATATTCGATATCTTTTATACTTTTCCAAATGTGAGCAATTAGATGATCATTTGTTGTTCCATTTATTGTTAAATTTGCTCCATTTATTATTGCTTCCTTTTTAAGGAGAAAATAATTTATCATAAATAATGATTTTTAAATTTTAATTAATAAATAAAAACAAAAATCAATTAATGATTGCTACAATTAAAAATTTTGTAAAATTAATTTCTTAATGATTAGCCTATTTTTACTGACAGATGTTTTTTTATTTCTCATTCTTTCATACGAAAACCAAAACTTACTTGCCATAAAAGAAACTTTTTGTTTTTACCATTCTTCAGTGAATGAAGAAGAGAAATAAGTTTTCTGAAGTACCATGCTTGAATGCTATGGCCATCTTTAAGTCCATAAATCTTTAAACGAAAACTTTTTTTAAGCTTAATTTATTAATTCATTATGAAAAATTGCTCAAATAAATCTTTTCAAAAAAACATTTCGAATTTTAAATATTAAATTTTGTAATGACCAAAATATTTAATATCCCATTATAGTGTTACATTTAGAAAAGAAATATATAACCTCCATAAAACGAATAATAGTCGGATTTGATATCCAACATTCCGTAAACCAATATTCGGCTTCATCGCCACCAAGATGAATAAAATTTTCTGGAAATGTTGAAAAAATTTCCTGAAAATTCTACCTAAATAATTTTTAACCGATGTTTTGTTTTAACTTTAGCAATTTTAACATTTCAATTTTATATGTAAATGAAAAATAGAAAAGAAATTTGCTTAGAAAATTTTTACCTGAAATAGCGCGCTTAATACATCCCACGTATTCGAATTTGTTGGATCGATTAAATTCTCAAAATTTTCATATATCGAACCATTTGAATGATAACACTTTGTTAGAAGATCTTTTACACCAATACCCCATGATTTCGTATGTCCCGGTGTATCGAATTCTGGTAGTACACGTATACCACGTAATCGAGCGTAGTTTATTATATCCTAAAATTTGAACATCTTTTAATTGGATATTGTAAATAAAGATAAATTGAACATTTTTAATTTCAATAACTATATACTTTATTCATAAAAGTAAAACATTGTACTACTGTAAATAATATTTAAATCAAACTTCACTTACACTTTTCAACTTTTATCAAATAAAAAGTATAATTTTGAAACGAATACACGTACACACATAGTTAACGTAATATTTACTATTATAAACATATGAAAGTTAAAAGTATGAAAATATTAGTAAATTAAAATTTTGAACAAATTTATGAAATGTTGTTGTTTTAAATGAACATTATTGATTGAATGATAATATTTCGATCATTTGTTTTCATTCATTATTAGAATATTGCTAACATTTTTGGAATCAAATTTTACAAATTAAAACCTTAATCTGTGATAATGTATAAACATGATTTGGCGTATAAGCTCCTTGGATTAATTCAGGTATAACTTCAGATTTATACGGGAATGATTCAATATCAACAATATGCCAATGAAATGTGTTAAATTTATTCTGCGCCATCAGCTCAATATTTGCTTTGATAACATCAACCGATAAATAATGCCTGAAATTATCTTTCCATTGTCTTTCCTTAATTAATTGATTTTACAATTGAATTATCACTTCGCTAGTTTGAAAAATATAATAATTGATTAACTCATAGTTCTTTTTTAAAAAAGAGAAAGTATTTCAAAAAAGTAAAGAATAATTTGGTTACGTGTTACGTGCTAATGTGTAAATAAAGCTAGCATGAAATAACTTATTCCTCAAAATAAGTTTTCAATATTGAGAATTAAAATATTAAAAATGATTATCATTAGCATAATTACATCTGAAATTGAATGTTAATTTAAAATTAGTAATTGTTTTTTCTTGAATTAGCTATTTTGGCTAAATTTTTTCCTTTCATATATTCAACTATTCCAAATTCAAATTCCAATTTACCTGGCTGTATCCAACAAAATTCCGCGATGTAAAAAACGTGGAAAATCGTGGATGAGAACTTTGTGTATTTTAGTATTTTCATCGAAAAACAGTTGCACAAATGATTCTATCCCTCTTAGAGCACCCCAAACCTGAATTTCATATAGTTTTTTTTAAGTTTACAAATAAAAAATTAAATTTGATTTCAATTTTAATGAAAAGAAAGTGTTGAAAAAAAGACCTGATTAGCTGTCAAAGTGGCACAACAATTTGTAATGTTTAATTTGTAACTTTCATCCATACCAAATTGTGGAAATCGATTGGTACACCCTTCTTCTACTATTATTGTTAAATTGCTAAGGACCTTTAAATAACAAATCGTGCAAATTTCATTAGTTAACTAATTAATTGGATGTTTTTGAAAAATAAAATAAAACAAGTTTAAATTACATGATTGAAAAATTAATTGTACATCACCTCATTTATAAAATTTATCACTTCGAGTAAATCAATTAATATTGCAGTAAAAGATAAATGATAATTAACAAACGAACACTTTTTAAATTTTCGGAACATTTTCCTTTACATGAATGAAATCATATAAAACTGAAGTTTACCTCATCAACCGTTACTTCGATATTTTGTTGCTTAATATTTTTTGATTCATTAAATCGTATTTTACCATTTAAACGTTTACGATAACGTGTTATAGCTTTATCGATAATTTCACATTCACCAACGGTTGACACGAAAGTAAACGCTTGTAAATTAACTGCCATCAATTTGTCAATTGTTGTAACATATTGTGGTTGTGGCCAAATGGCACCTTTTGAACGTAAACGTGGATCAGGCCAACTTTCAATAAATTCTTGTTGTAAAATGTAGCCAAATAACACAGCGATAATAAATAGCCACATTTGAATATTGCTAAACTGAATAATATTAAATTGAAATAAATTATTTCATTCAAACATTGTTATATCATAGCTTTAAGCTTCGAATAGTAAAAAATACGATGCAAATTTGAGCAAATAATATTAAATTTCAAATATTGAACTTTTAATGAGATATATCAAAATATTTGAAATCAAACATTTATTTTTAAATTTGATGGTATCTCTAGTTTTAATGATCGATTAAATTAAGCTACTACTATTGCGAGCAAAATAAGGTAATTAAGGTACTTAATGATCGATTAAATTAAGCTACTACTATTGCGAGCAAAATAAGGTAATTAAGGTACTTAATGATCGATTAAATTAAGGTACTATTATTGTAAGCAAAATAAGATAATTAAGGTACTTAATGATCGATTAAATTAAGGTACTAGTATTGTAAGCAAAATAAGGTAATTAAGGTACTTAATGATCGATTAAATTAAGGTACTATTATTGTAAGCAAAATAAGATAATTAAGGTACTTAGTGGTCGATTAAATTATGGTACTGGCAACTATTGTAAGCAAAATTCTTTAGTACAAAAAAAACAAATCGTTTTTTCTGAAATTTAAGAAGTACAACGTTGTATTAAAATTTTATTATAATAATTGCCATGTTAAATTTTTTTCAAGTTTTTTGAAATCTTTGAATTTCTAAGAGCAAACATCATAGTGATGATGGAACCATTGAAAGAAGTGATAATAGTTTGAAATAGAAGAATAATGATAACAGAAGAAAAAAAATGTTGAAAATGATAAAAATTTCAAATATATACTTTGAACAAAACTTTTCAACTGAATGATAGTGAATGATAGCTAATATTTTATTATGTATTCGATTTTGTTGATAATGAAAAGCTTTTAATTTAATTAATAAATAAGCAATTGGAAAAAAAAAGGGAAGAGAGAAAAAAAGAAAATGAAATCTCACATTTTGTTAGGCATTTATAAACATTACACATTGAAATTTGAGCAGTTCAATTTAAAATGGAATCATTAAGAAGCTCGCAATGTTTTAAATTTCAATGAATAAAATTGCATAATTTATTTGATTTAGTAAATGGCGTGAAATATGCGAGCGTTTTTGCATAATTTATTATTTAATTTGAATCATTTCAAAATCTAAAATTGTTAATTAAAATTAAATGAAAATGATGCCTAAATTGAAATCAATTAAAATCAAAGGAATTTAGAAATGTGTAAATAATGCAATCAAAATTTTGAGTAAACAAACTATTCGAAGTTAATTTAATTAGCATAATTTTCATAAATAAAATTACCTTTTTTTATTTTGTAATATTAATATTAATCAATTAGCTCAAATTAATGGAGCAAAATTTAAAAAAAAAAAGAAATAATTTTATTAATTGAAAAATTTTATTTTTGTTTTTACGCTATTACAATTAAATATAAATAGCGAATGGATACGCTTATGAGAGAATGTGTAACAACGAAAAATTCATTTCAGCTAGGTGGAAAAAAATTTGTTGTTAAATATTTGAAGAAATTGTTTCAAATAGTAAAACTTTTATTTTATTTGAAAATTTTATGAATCATTGAGAATTTATGAATTATCAATGATATACGTTAGTTATGTATAAACGTTGTAATAGTGAAATATATCAGTGAGATCGGAAGCCAAAAGTTGTGCTTACATTAAACTAATCACTAAATTATCCTTAAAATTTATCTCATATACAATGCAAGTGTTATCACATCTTCTCATTATGTAATATATTAGAAATTAACGATGATTAATCAATTTTTATGAATTTAAAATAATTCATCAGGAGTAATAATAAATGATTATTAATAATAATAATAAATAATTAATAATAGATAATAAATAATAATGATAATAATAATGATAATAATAATAATTAATAATAGTAATAGTAATAATAATAATTAATAATAATAATTAATAATAATTAATAATAGTAATAGTAATAATAATTAATAATAATAATTAATAATAGTAATAGTAATAATAATAATTAATAACA